ACAAGGTATCTTGCAGCTCAGGTTGTCCTTGAGTTCTGGATCCTCTTGCCTCTACCTCCCACACAGACAGACCCTGTGTGGTTGCTCTTCTGATGCTCCCCGGAGGCTCCTGGGGCAGTGTGCCAGTGTTGAAGTAGCAGCGTGGCCTGGAGGTTCTTTGCTGGGCTGGTGTGAAAATTAGCTGAGAAGGGCTTAACATAAAACCTAAAATTGTTCCCACTATCTATCTATTTGTTTGTTTGTTTGTTTGTTTGTTTACCTCAGTGCTTGGTCCATTGTCTGTGACATCATAAATCTTCAGCAAATTATTTATTGGATAAGTAAGCGAGCTAGCTATCCAGTGATTCTTTTTGTTGTCTATGGGTTTGTTCTTTCCTTGTTGTCTTGAGGCAGGATTTTGCTAGTTATCCCAACTGGCCTCGCTCTTGAGCCTCTTGCTGTAGGTGGGACTTCTGGCGAGTGCCGCCACACCCAGCTTAACTGTGCATTGCACACACATGCCCCTTGTCTCAGGACTTAAGTCTTAGGTTGAATGGTGAGAAAGAGCCTGCGGGGCTGGATATGGTGGCACAGGATTGTACTTACAGCACTCCAGAGATGTGAGGCAGGAGGATCCACGAGTTCTCAAGTTCTGGGCTCAGACAAGCTGAAAGGGTGTAGAGCAGGAAGTAAGCTTTGGCACCTCTTCCTTCTCTCAGTCCCTTATTGCAAACTTGGACCTCTTGATAGCTACTCTTCTGCCTCCTTCTGGTATTTTTAGTGAATCCACACATCGGAACTAACTGTTGCTAAACATGTTTAGAGCCTGGGTTAGTACATGGCAGCTGAAGGTAGACGTGAAGCCCTGCTCCATGCTGAAGAAACAGCGGCACAAGTCTGCTGTGTGTAGCGCCTGCGGTGGCCAGGCGGCCTGAGAGCGCAGTGTGGTGTGGAAGGCCCTCATTGTCAGGTCGGCGGGAGCACAGGGTGTTTCGTCAGCTGAGCTCTGAGGTTTGCAGAGGGTGCATTTCCTACATGAGGGAGAGCAGAGAGCAGGCCTCCTGCAGAAGGGGGTGGGGGAAGCTAAAACCTTTGGTAGGGTCTAGGGGCTATTGTAAAGATTCTTGGGGAAGGAGATTTTGGGTTGGGTTGGGTTGCTTTGATCAGCCTAGACTAAACTAGCCTTGAACTCAACCCAGCTTCTTCTGCCTCTCAGTGCTGGAATCACGGTGTGAGCTTTTTGTTGTCTTGAGTAAACTCGGCTCATTAAGTAAAATGGTATATTAGGACTTTATAACTTCCTGGGCTGTCACAGGTCTGAGAAGATAAGGTCGGTTGGTGCCGCTTCCCCAGTCTTCCTCCCCAGCTGCCCTGCCCCTTGCAGCTGCCCTGTGCCCTATTCAGAATTCCTTCTCTGTGCCTAATACTCTCAAAGCTGGGAAGAAGGCATGGCAGGTTGACTGGCAGAATCCAGGTGCCACAGGCTACCTGCGCTGTGACTCAAGTTCGTCACTGGAGCTCTGTGTCTGCCCTGCGGGGTTGGTTCCAGGAAGCGTTGATGGGGGTTGGCTGTATGTAGACTTCCATTCTGTCCACCAGAACCTGTTGCCTCGCGCTGTATAAATGCTCTCAGCTCACGTGGCAGTTTTTCTAGCTCCCCAGATGCTTGTGGCTCCTTCCTCTGCCTGTCAGCTCTATCTTCATCTGTATTTCTCTGTACTGTGCATGGGAGCCACATTCTGGGGTCTGATTCCTGAGGACAGAAAGGCCTCTGCCACTGAGCTGCAAGTGTGATCAGTTTCATGGCACTGCTCTCCAGCGGCCTGCAAGCACCTCATGCTGTGGCTGTTGAGACATCAGCCTCAGGTGAAGGCCGGGGAGAGGGGAAGGGGGAGTACAGACAAAAGAGAGGGGTCTTTGCTTCAGAATTGTTGTTCAGTCTCTCTTTCCTTCCCCTTCCCTCTCCCCTAATTGTTTGAGACAGGATTTCACTATACTCTGTGTGGTCCTGCCTGGATTAGAACTCACAGATGTCTGCCTACCTCTGCCTCCCAAGTGCTGGAATTAGTGTGTACCACCACTCTTGACCTCTCTGTCCAGTAAGACTGGACTGAGTCTTACTGTTTGGCCCTGCTGCCTCAGACTCTTGGGCGAACACACACACACACTGGTCTCTTGGTTTGGTTTTTCTTTTGAGGCATGATGTCCATAAATAGCCAGGCTGACCTACAACTTGAAATCCACCTGTCTCAGCTGGTGGGTGTGCTGGGATTACATGCCTGTGCTACCGTGCCTGCACATACATGCTCAGCATGTGAACTGGAGTCATTTGCTCCCTTTCTCCTTTCTTCGTTTGGAAAGCTTGGGTTGGTTCCCTTGGGTCTTCCTTGGATTCAGACTAGGGGAAGTGGCTGACCTCAGAGCCACTCTCCTTTCTTGCAGTGGTGTGGTGGTGTGGTGCGCCTTCCTCCTAGAGGCGAGAGCCAGAGGCTGGCGGGCTTCTTGTCTTTGCTGGGTTGCAGATCTCCTGCTGATGTAGACAACTGTCTGGTAAATAGTTCTCACAGCCTGAGTTAACTTTGACTAATTGAAAGTCAGAGGGAGCGAGTTCAGACAGGGATCCCCTGGGCATCTGGAAACACTGCTCTAGGGGAGGAAAAACAGAGGCCTCTTGTTTATACCTGTGTGCTCATGACTCCCTGCTTCCCTTCTGGCCCTGGTAGGGGTTGGTGCGTCTCCTAGAGCGGGTTTGTAGCACTGTTTTCTCACACTGCTTGCAGTTTAAGGTGTCAGTCTTCCATCTCCTTGACTGTCAGTGTAGAACTTCCTCACTTGTGTTCCAGTGCTGTGGCCAGGCTTGTCGTAGTTTATGGATGCTGGTTCAGATTCACATAGAACTCTTAGCATCTGGCTAGGGCAGGAGACTGTCTCTCTGGATCATTGCTTTGGTGTGATGTGTGTCCCTCCCCAGTTTTGCCTACCCCACCACTGATGGCTAGGGCTCTTAAGGAGTGTACCAGAGGAGTCTCTGCTCTCCTGCTTTCTCTGTATTATTAGACTTGCCTCCAGGATACTTTGTTGTAAATGGTTCTGACTTTGCCAGGGGCACTGTTGATTGCTTGTCTTTGCAGTACTGGGGATCAAACTCAGGTTTGTGCATGCTGGGCCACTGGGCTTCCTCATCTTTACTCCCACTTAGCTTTCCTCCGTGCTGATGTCTGGATCTGTCCCCATTGAAGAACCCCTCACTGGACAGAGAGATGGATTTAGAAAGGTTAAGGAGCCATAGACCATAGGACCAAGAAGAGAAGGGGAAAATACATTCCTACTATGGTTTTCTTTTTTAACAGCCTCGTATCATTTCTCCCAGAGACGGGGCTAAACAACCTCACTAGGCCAGCCAGACCCATGATACACAGGCTCCATCACCTCAACCTACACACACCCTGTGTGTCCCTTTCCAACTCCAGGGTCACAAAAGCTATGAAAAGCCCTGGGGAAGCCCCTAGCCTCTTAAGGCAGCTCCTGAAATAATGTATAGTTTTCCTTTAAAGAGATGTGATCCACTTCCTGTCACTCTGGGATAGACACTGTATTAGAATTCTGGTGACACTCTAGCCTACTCTCACGCTCTCTGGAGACTGTTGGGCCCTGGAGGGTTCTTAGGCCAGGCCCCTATGTGGGTCTACGGGGGAAGGCACGAACTCCAGCTAATGTTTTCCTACAATCAGCACCCAGGAAGCTGTCTCCTAGTGGAAAAACACAAGAGAATTTTACAGTCCCACGCCTGGTCACTGAACAGCTCCCTAACGTTGCATTCTCCCGTTGCTGCTACAAAGGAGTTTTTGTTGGACCCTGAGACATTGGCTCGGTCTGAACAGCAGTTGATTTACAACTCCAACCTGAACTTGACGCGGCAGTTCTCCAGGCCCACCTCCCGACCCTCCTCTTTGCCCACCTGATTGGCAGGGGGTGGATGATGAGGAAGGACAGGTTGCTAAGCAGCCTGGCTTCAACATCGTGCCCTTGATTGAATGAATGGCTGCAGTGTTCAGAAGAGGAGATTTTTGAGTCTGTCTCAGAATCAGGAGGGACTCTTTAGAGAAGGGTCTGGTCTTGGCACAAGGTCATGCCTGACTTGGGAGGGAGTTTGGACCCTCCACACCCTTCCCCTTCCTTCTTGGTGGCAGGGAACCCAGCTCTGCAGCTGCTCTTGCGTGGAGACCCTGTTGCAGAACCGCTGTTTTCTCCCTGTCAGTGAACTCCTCTGCATTTGGATCACTGTCTCCTCATGACACTAAAGATTCCTGGTTTTACTGAGTTTGAGGACATTTGGGTCAGCAGAAGTGTGCCAAAAGCCTGTAATCTAGCTCTCATTTCTCAGCCTTGGTTGGTTAGGGGAAACAGTGAAGTCAGATATTTGTATTAAGTATTAAAATAAGTGTTTTTTTTGAACAGACTGTAAAACCAATGTAAGGAGAGGTGAGGGTCAAGGAGTGCCAGAGAGAGGCCACCTCAAGCTGGGCTTTCAGGGACCTTATGTAGTCACTAGAGGGCTTCTTTGAACTTCCTCATAATTAATGCTCATGATGAAGTCTGCCCTGTTTGTTTGAAGTAAAATAGAAAACCTCCCATGGGCAACCGGTCTCCAGAGTTAGGTGTTATGGAGGGTGCCCCTTGAAGCAGTCCTTTAGTGATGTGTTCGGATACACTCCTCCAACCCAGGGGAGCCATGGGCAGGGAGCAGTCACACAGGTAGCAGGGCCATGTTCACTGCTGCAGGCTCTCAGCAGCGTGGCTCAATGCTGTTTCCTCCTAGGGGCCATGGAGACCCAGCTGCCGTGACGGGGGAGAAGTGGTCAGAGCTCTGGGACCCCAGGAGCCTGGAAGCACTGTTCACTGTTAGCATGCTGGGAGCGCTTGCTCCTTCAACTTCATGAAAAGCCCATGTGTCTTGGTGAAGAGAGTGACTGTGGCCCAGGAGCCCAGCCTTACCTTTGCGTGTTTCTTTTTCCCCACAGGATAATACAGAAGCAGAGAAGCGGGATCCTCAAGAGTTAGTGGGTGAGTACCCCGGGGCCGTACCTCTTGAGTCCTTGCCCTGAGCAAACTGCCTTCCACTCATGTCAAGTCTGTCACTGCCATGAGGCATTTCCCTCATACTCCCTCCCGAAACCTTTGGCATTTCTAGGGTGACTGGGTGAGACCACCAGGCAAAGTTCTCTGAAAATGGTGTTCTGTGTGCATTTTTCTGGGCTTTGGTTGGTTGCCAGTGTTGTCAAGGGAGTTCAGAGGCCCCCTACAGCTAGGAGCTCATCTTGGTCTTTGCTTCTTTCACTTGTGCCCAGGGCCTGACCTCTCTGTCTTTATATCCCCTGTCCCCACATCCCCTGTCCCCATAACCATATTCATGTTGCTAAAGGAGGCAGCATGGGGCCTCTACTGGCACTTGGCCTTGTTCCCAGGCAGGAACATGCCTCACCGCCTTGACATATGCTGCCCTTGGTGGCTTTGAAAAACAGGGTAACTTGGGGGAAAACACATTCCATCCATGCATCTTATTCCTTTTAGAAAGCCACTCCGCTCCTTAGTTTTGTTTGCCATGGACTTGGCTCCAAAAACCTGACCAGGGGAAGTTCCCAGTGTCCCCTGTCAATGGGTTGAGCCTTTCCTCCACAACGGCTGTCACCTGCTCCATGGCCCGCGTACTAATCTTTAGACAAGTGCGTTCCCACCTTTAGATCTGCCCCAAAGGGTGCCTGTGGAGCCCACCCCTGCGTCTCTACATTCAGAGTCTGTGTTTTCCAGCCCAGGGGCTCGAATGTCAGGAACTTGGCTTGAAGGCTTTCTTCCAGCCTGCCCACCTGCCTGTTTCCCAAGAGGTTCCCTTTTGCTGTGGGCTGCTGGCAAGGGGCTGGTTTTCCATAACTTAGTGCTAAGAATTCCCATTCCATTTGTCTTCTGATCCACTGGGCAAGAACAGAGGGTCATGTTCATTTCCCAGCATCCATGTCAGGTGGTTCACAACTTCCTGGAACTCCAACTCCAGAAAGTCCAGTGCCCTGTGCTGCCCCCACTAGGCCCATGGGCACACAGTGCACATCCACACTGAGAGACAGACACTCACTCGCACATGATGCGTGTCCACACACTCAGAAACACTCACACAATTGAGCTACACCGTCTTTTTCATTTTTCCGTTTTGGCAGGCATGGTTTATTCCTCTCTTGTGGGAACACGGCACATCTTTCATCTGTTTAGGTTCAGTGCTCTTCTCTTTAAGGGGCAGATACTAGGGCAGTACCTCTCTGGCAGAGTGGCTTCTAATCCTGACCCCGTGCTTGCTGCCCCCTCTGTCTGAACTCAGCTCCTTTTAACTGACTCCTACTCCTGAGTGCCAGGTGTAGGAGAACAAGCAAAGAGCCAAAAAGCTAACTCACGGTCTTCCCTAGTGCTGTAGCTCCTGCCCCCGGGCCTGGAGCCGGTCTGGATGCAGTCCAGGGGGGTCTCCGAGTCCCTTCGGAACCTCCTGCTTACCGCCTGTCAAGTATCCCAAAAGCGTCCTCAGCCCCAGTGGGCTTACTAATTACAGCCCACTGTGGGGCTAGCGCTGTACTTGTGTTGTAAGACCGACTTGCGCCTGACCCTGGCCCCAGTGTGTTCATAGTATGCACAGGCCCCGCTCCTCCCTGCTGCATCCCAAATCCCTGGGACCAGCCACTCTGCTCCGGTTCCTGCCTGGTGGCCGTGGGCACTGCAGATCTTTCCTCACAAAGGTCTTCTCAGGGCTTGACTCATGCTGATAGCAGGCTTCTCAGATATTAAGCGCAGCAGCTACAGGCGTAGGTACTGCCCCAGATGTCTGTGAACACTGCTTGACATTTCTTGAGAAAACGGTGTGGGGCTCCGGCTACTCTGAGATGCACAGGGCAGCTGTCATCTGTGTGGGATTCATTCTAGTCTGTCCCGGAGTCTGTGCGGTACATTTTTATTTTGTCCAGAATATGTCACTTTCTTGTCATTTACTTCCCAGGAATACCCTTGTTCCTACCCTTGTTTATGGGGGGCTGCCTCCTGTTACACTCTCTACCACATATGCCCCAGAGGGCTGGGGTTGCCACAGTAACAGTGACACACCCTGTTTTTCTAAAATGCTTTCCTGGCAAATGCCAAAGGGCACTCTTTGTCCGTGTCACATGCACATATACCCTCTCTGGCCCAGCGCCTGTCAAGGCCTTCTTGCTTTTGTTACTAATCCTCACAGAATGCCACGACCTGCTCTTTCCAGCTGCTTCCACTCTCAGCTGGCCCCTTAGGCTGGGCCAGCCTGAGAAGTTCTGCTTATCCCAGGGCTGGGAAGAAGGAAGAAATCAAGATTCGGCCTGACCGCTTGCAACCGCTGGGTGGTGCCCCGCCTGAGAGCCAGTCGGGAAATGGCAGAAAGGTTCAGGGCAGCCACAAGTGTGTAGTTCCCTTGTGGAGTATGTTCTCAGCTGCTGTTGCTTCTCAGCCCACAGCAGGACCTTTGATCCGCGTTGCCCAGCCAGAGCTTAGGGTGTGTCTGGTTACAGCCCACTGGTGACGCCCAGCACTGTACTTGTGTTTTAAGACTGCCTTGGGCCTGACCCCTGGCTTCTCTGTGTTCACAGTATGCGCAGGTCCGGAACCACAGTGGCTGACCTCGCAAAGTCATTAGTCTTAAGGGTCCTAAAGCCCTTGTTCCCAGCACTACGCTCATCACAGTGACAGAAAACTAAGCGGAGATCAAAGCACCTTATCTGCTAAGAAGAAAACAGTAACCTATGCTGGGTGCAATGGTGCAGTCCTGGCTGAAACAGAGTCACTTGAGTCCAGGAGTCTGGGCCAACCTGGAGCCCTGAATGAGTGGTCCCATGCCCCCCAACACACAACACCTAGTTTTATTGGGGGTTGTTTGTTTTTAATCCCTTAAGATCTGGGACTATTTTAAAAAATCATGACTGAAGCCTGGCATGTTGGTGCACACCTTTAATCCCAGCATTCAGGGAGGCAGAGGCAGATGGATAGTTGTGAGTTCAAGGCTACACAGAGAAACCCTGTGTCAAAAACAAACAAATAAAATCATGGCTGGAGGGGAAGCTCAGCAGTTAATGCACTCTGCTCTTGGACAGGACCCCATGTCTGGGCTCCCTACCCCCGGTAACTACCTCCAGGGGCTCTGATGCCCTCTCTGGACTCAGAGGGCACTTGCACTCACATGCAAAGACAGACATACATAATTTTTTTAAAAGTAAAGTTTTTTTAAAAAAATAAATCCAGCTTTGGGACAAAAGACTAGGAATCTTTGCTACTCTAGTCCCTTCAGCCCTAGAGAGCTGTTGCAAGAAAGGGCTTAGGTAAGGGCTGGGTACACAGTGGGTCCCCCAACAAGTTCCTGCCTGATGCTGTTAGTGGCTTTTTGGTGCTTCCCTTCCTCCTGCCCTGCGCTGCCTGCTGTTTGCTTATTGTATGGTCCTTTTCATGAGTGAATGTTTCAGAGAGCATGACAGAATCGTACAACAAACAGCCCATTGTCTGTGTGCTCCAGAGCAAGACTCTGAGGTCCTGGGTGACCAGAGGCTACAGGGAAGGGAATGAGAGAGGAGGCGAGTCTTGGGTGGGTAGTGGCTGTCCTCTGGGAGAACTGCCCTTGGGAGTTGTGGTTCTTCATGTCAGAATCAGCCCTATTGTTCAGATCTTTTTATGCACAAGCTGTTTCGGATCCAAAACATTAGGAACCCTCAACACAGTTTCTCAGCCTAGGCGGGATAAATCCAGGCCAGAAAAGTACCTTGCCAAGTAGCTCTGAGCCCCAGAATCCTGTGAAGTACCTGGCTTGTGCTTCAAGCTGACACATATCTCTTCCAGCCCTGGTTCAGCGTCTTCCACATTGGCAACTTGAGATTAAGCTTAGCCAGGGCAGAATTTATGCTGCCTGCAGAAATTGGCAAATGTAGCCAGGCGTGCACACCTGAGATCCCAGCACTCTAGGAGGCAAAGGCGGGTGAATCTCTGTAAGTTCAAGGCCAGCCTGGTCTGTAAAGTAAGTCCAGGACAAATAGGGCTACACAGAAAAACCCTGTCTCAGAAAAAAAGAAAGGTAAGGAAATTGGCAAAAGCTTTGGGTGGTGGCTCCTTCCCCTCCCCTCCCCCGGCATTTTGCTGGCGAGCTCTTTACTTAAAAGTTAGTCACTGGTGCTTGGTAGCATGTGTTATCTACATCTGTCCCCTCTACCTGAACTTCCCTCCTCCTGGGTTGACACAGGCAGGCTTCTGGCTGTTTGATTGCAACTCAGGTAACACTCTCACCAAGAAGCCCCTGGACAGCCTGCTTCATTGTTTTCATAGCATGGTTTCCTCTCTGGAATTGTTTTGTACTTGTGCTTTTATAGCCCCTGGCTTTTATTCTCAACAAAAAAATTTCCCCTCTGTTTTCTCAACAGCCTCCTTTTCTGAAAGGGTCCGTAACATGTCACCTGATGAAATCAAGATCCCACCGGAACCGCCCGGCAGATGTTCCAATCACTTACAAGTAAGTGCTGCTCTGGCTGCTGAGGCCAGTGTGGATGAGATGATGGCCTGGGTCACACTGTCTGTTTGCACCATGAGGCATGGCAGGGAGAGAGACCAAGTCAGATTGCCAGGTGGGCAGGAGCTGCAGCCTTGGATATTGGAATTGGCACCCACTGCCACACCTGCCATGTGCCACCCTCTCGACCCCTGGTCTGCATCTTCTCTGAGCCGGGGGATGTCTCAGAGGGAAATTTTCTGGGAAACTTGAGGACCCATCAGAGTGTAAAACAAATTACAGGAATGTAACATGCAGCGTTTAAGTGCATAGTCTCTGTCTCCATGTACCTGATGCTACAAGCTTCTGGCCACAGACCTGGCCTCAGGTTTTGAAAGCCTGAAGAACTCTGTTATCTGTGTAGTTGACCCATGGGACACTTCACCATAGGGTTGTTTCTCCTTGTGTCTGTTAGTTCCTCTGTGAGTGGAACCTTTCAGTTAACAATAGAGCAGATGCCCAAGGCTACGTAATTTCGGACCTTTTCCACCTGGCCTGCCTTTGATCCCACATCTTCTTCTTAATGCCCCCAGCTATATAGCAAGCCCATGGCACCACCCAAACGGATGGATGACTAATGGGTCCTAGGGCTGAGGAATGCAGCAGTCCAGGAGAGGGCCAGAGTCAGGACTAGGGCACAGCACGGATTTTTTTCCTTTCCTGGAAGTCTCCTCCCTTGGCTGAGTTGTCTGCCTCCCTCCCCAATTACCCCCAGGATGGCGTCACCCTCCATGCCAAACAAGTTCAAGCCTGTAAGGACGAATGCCAGAACCCTGCCAAGCAGAAGCAGGCAGCCACTCAGCTCTTGTTTTGTTTTGTTGGTTGTTTTGTTTTGTTTTTTCAAGACAAGATATCTCTGTGTAACTATCTGACTGTCCTAGAACTCTATTTGAGGCCGGCCTAAAACAGATGACGAGATCCGCCTGCCTCTGCCTGCCAAGTGCCAGGATGAAAGGCATGCACCACTGCCTGGCCTTCAGAGTTCTTCAGTTCAGAATATTTTTTTTTTTATCTTCCTGGGGATAGGAATCATAGAATTTAAGCAAAAGGCAAAACCTCTAATGTCCCTGGAGCCCTGACCGTGGTAGCTGTTAGGCAGGGTTCACCTCAAGCTGCTGAGCTTTCGTGTAAGGGCTCCCTGAGTGCCCTCAACATGGCACCAAGGAAAACGGCCACACTGCCAGCTTCTCCCTGGTAATGAAGTGCCTTGTAAACCTCTCAGGCTCTGTCATGCCTATCTCAGCCTTCTGACTGGGAGAGTGGCCACCTCTTCTAAAAGGTGCCCCAGGGTACTACCCAGGACTTCGAGCCCCTCCCACCGAAATCTGGTCTTTCTAGAGAGTCTGTGCGAGGCTGCCACTAGCAGGGAAGCTGCGCTTAGCCCTCCAGTTGGACTACTCACATTGCTGGCTCAGACCGCTCTTCCCAGAGGAGGCTTTGCCCTGAGTGGAATGTCTGGGCTTCTTCACTGGCACCAGACAACCCTGATGCCAGCAGTTTAAAGTATTTCTATTACTGTGATTTAGAAAACTGTAACTAAGCCAGGCAGTTACACACGTTTAATCCCAGAGCTCAGGAGGCAGAGGCAGCAGACAGATATCTGAGTTTGGAGACAGCCAGGGCTACACAGAGAAACTTTATCTCGGAAAAACAACAAAAAACAAACAAGCAAACAAACAGGACAGACTTGCCTACTGGCCAGGCTCATGAAAGCATTTTCTCAGTTAAGATTCCCTCTTCCCAGATGTGTTTAGGTTTGTGTCAAGCAGATAAAAACCAACTAGCACAGCTCCTGTTACCAGCTTCATCTTTCTAGGCCCGTATCACCAGCTTGGATGCTGGCAATAGCACTCCTGTTTTCCTAGCCCAGTGGTACATGGACAAGTTTTGGTGAGAGATTAGCTCTTGACCCTTGATTGTTAACTGATACGAGCCAGTGCTCTCAGCGACCTTACAAAAGACATTCTGAGGTGAAGCTCAGCACTAGAGCATGTGCCTGGCCTGAAATGAGGCCCCTGGTTTCATCCCAAGCACCACCAAAAACTTTTAAAAGACATCTACAAAGTTTGAGACCAACTGCAAAGAAAGTCTACCTATCTCCCTTTGAGGTGATACTTTCCCAGGTCTCCTCTGACTCAGATCTACTAAAAACATAACCCTTGCTCATCAACTCTTAAGACCTTATGCTTTTTGGGTGGTTTGGGAGCTGGTAACAATCGTGGGTTTGTTTCTTGGCTTCTGGTGGCTTTTGACTTGACCTGTCTCCCAACTCTGCACTGACCATCAAGACTAGGTCAGGAGAAGGCAGCAGTAAAAACTGATAGGTTTGGTTTGGCTTGCCTGTGCACAGCTCTGGTCAGAGGCTGGGTGGAAGGTGTCTTGTGATTGGAGTCATGTGTCACACGGCTCCACAGACTGGGTTGTGGGGGTTGGGCTTCTGTCCTGCTTACCCTCCGTCCCCTTGACAGGATAAGATCCAGAAGCTCTATGAGCGGAAGATAAAGGAGGGGATGGATATGAACTACATCATCCAGAGGAAGAAGGAGTTCCGGAACCCCAGGTGAGGTTCCCAGGAGCCTGCAGGCAAGGCCAGTCAGCATTAGGTGGGGACCAGTGTCCAGGGGAGAGCCAGCTTTGATCCTAGCTGAGCCCAAAGTGGCTTCAACCAGACTTCCACTTACATTTAGATGCCTGCTTCACACCAGAGGATTACTCATAAAATACATGTTTGAGGTGTGAAGCATCCAGAGGGATGGCTGAGCAGCCTTGCTGGGTTCTGTTTCACCACCTTGGTCCTAAAGGAGGATATTCAACAAGATAATCACTAGGGACTCAGAAAATTTGGTTTTGCCTCTTGGTAAAAGTTTTTAGAGACAAAACTGTCTGGGTCTATTGTTCTTTGCTAGTGTTTGAAATGGAGTCTTATTATGTAGCCCTGGCTGGCCTCGAACTCACAGAATTTGCCTGTCTCTGCCTTCCAAGTGCTGGGATTAAAGTTCTATAGTTAAAGGTGTGCAGCACTGTGCCTGGCTATGTCCAGGTCTTACTTCAAAAGCTCAAGCTAGTTAAACACCCAGGAAAGAATGTGGCATGTTGACAACAGGACCTACCCTAGGCAGTATTGTGAGTCCTGAGTGTGGAGGCCCCAACCCAGCCATATGCTAACTGAAGGCCAGAAACATCTACACTAGACATAGCATTCAGTTGTTGTCTTGACCCTCATCCTGTCCCCAGCAGGTGGGCCTCCCACCAGGAGGCTGAATAGGAAGAAGTAAGCTGGGTTTAAAGGCTTCCGTCTCTTTGTCGTGGTTCCAGGTGCTGGTGGTTCTGGTTCCTTACAGGAATACGGGACCAGTACAGAGCCTGCTCACTGATGGTTCTGTTCCTTTTTCAGCATCTATGAGAAACTGATCCAGTTCTGTGCCATTGATGAGCTGGGCACCAACTACCCAAAGGTGTGTCCTACGCACAGGGGCTGGAGAGGATGAGGTTGCTGCTGTACTGGGTGTGACTAGGAAAGGTGCGCAGAGAGGTCCATAGGATAGCATCTGCTAGTCCAAAAGATACTGCCAGGCCTGGCCTCTGGTTAGAAGCCAGGCCTGGCCTGCTAAGCCAGGACCTCTTCACTGTGCTCTTAAGAGCTTCTGGTGATCAGGAAGATAGCTTCCAAGAGGGCTAGGCCCCTGCCTGGGGAGAGGCCCATGTATGGGCCCTGTGCACTATGATGGTCTCTGACTGAAGCTTAACCTCTTCTTTTCAGGATATGTTTGACCCCCATGGCTGGTCTGAAGACTCCTACTATGAGGCATTAGGTAATGTAACCTCTATTAGCTTTCTGTTTATCTGCTCTTCTGCACACCTGTCTGTCCATCAGTCAGTGATTTAGGCGATATCTCAGGGTGTCTATGCCAGGCCGTGGCCACGGGGCTCCTGCTGACGTGGCCTTGGACAAGACATAGTGAAGACAGATGGTTGGATCAGTAATCCCCACACGATGCCACTGAAATAACGTGAGCAGAGCTGCGGTGCCGCTAGCAGCGTTTGGCAAGCAGAGTTGCCTGGCCAGAGTGCTGGGGAGGCCCTGTTGAGGGAGCTGTTAAAGCTAAGGTTTGGAGAGGGGCAGGGGCTGGAATGCCCCGGGCAGGGGAGGCATGTGTTCTGAGGCCAGTTAGTGCAGCACAGGGAACGGGGAAATTTCAGAGTCTGCGCCTGTAAGTCATCAGTCGCAAGCCAGAATCCGGTATGCCAGGTCCTGGCTCATCGTGAGTGTGTATGTGTGGCCCTCACAAGTTCTGCCTTATTTGTTTGTTAGTTACCAATATTTTTATTTATAATAAAATTCTATACCTAGCCTTTCTTAAGAAGGTAGTTCCTGCTGTGAAACGTGGGAGCAGCTCACCCTTCCCAGCATGGTGTGCAGCCTTGGTTCAGGCCATGCCCTACACTGACCAGGACCTAGCACTTCATCTGCCAAGGGCAGAAGGCTGCTGAGCCCACGCCACTATTTAGGCCAAAATAAAGAATGCAAGGTCAAGGCAGTGACCTCCCTCAGTCACACACTGCTCATAACAGCCTGTCTTCTCTCCATAGCCAAGGCCCAGAAGATTGAAATGGACAAATTGGAAAAGGCCAAAAAGGAGCGAACCAAAGTGAGTAACGACTGAGCCTGGGATGGAGGCGGTGTGTGGAGTGTGCAGGTCCTGCTGGCTGAGTCTAAGATTCAGGGTCTTAGGCTCCCTTCCACCCCTGCTCTTAAGACATCGTGAGGCTTTGAGCAGCCTTGACCCTGCCCTCTGTCTTTGAGCCCAACCTCTAACTCAGCTTAGGGAAGCCTCCACTGCTGTGCTCTTGAAGGCTTGGCATTCCCTGCATTCTGCCCTCCCCTACCCCATTTCAGAGCCCTGGTGGCTTTGTGTCTTCCAGGTCACTGATGCCTCCCCCGCCTGATTAAAAGTTGGTGTTCCTTCTGAGAGAGTGGGGCCAAGGCCTACTCCAGTTTGTGCATTTCTTGGCCCGCAGAGCTGACCTCAGCAGCCAGCTTGTGTGGTTTACTATGGCTGTCATGTCTGATAGCCATATTAGCTGTCATTTTTGGACACCGAGTACCACTTCTTCTATACAGTATGATCTGGGTCTTTTATGAATTTCAAACTAGCTCCAAAATCAAAATAGCATCTTCTAGGTGCTGCGCTGTTATGACCAGAGTTCCCGAGATAGCTAGACATCAGGACACCAGCTCCTCCTACCTTGCTTAGGGCTGAATACCTCTCAGCAACTGTGGCCCACAAAATACTTCCTTCACCTCCAGGCTGAGGGGCTACACAGACTGGTGTGCTGGTGGCCCTCTTTGTAACCAGGAATGTAGGTGCTGGTGTAAGTGGATAAATTAAGTTTCGCCCTCACGTTTTTTGTTTTTGCTCCTGAGACAGGTTTTCTGCGTAGCCTTGGCTGTCCTGGACTGGCTTTGTAGACCAGGCTGACCTTGAACTCACTGCCTGCCTCTGCCTCCCTTACAGGTGTTCGCCACCAGGCCCAGCTGATTTCTTTATTTATGTATTTTATGTTTGTGGGTACTCTGTTTGCATGTATGCCTACATGACAGAAGAAAGCATCAGATCCCCTTAAATGGTTGTGAGCCACCATGTGGTTGCTGGGAATTGAACTCAGGTTCAAGAGAGCCAGTACTCTTAACCACCAAGCCATCTATCCAGCCCATGTTTCTTATTCTTAACCATTGAGTGACTCTCCCTTCTTTCTTTCCCTCTCCCTTCCAAACTCCAGGCTTATTGCAGGGAGAGGTCTGCAGTACCTGGGGACCACAACCGTCTTTCCCCTAAGTGGAAGACATCACTTCCTGCTGGATGTGAGGAGGAGGGGCCTGGCAGCTGGTTTAGGGGCATAGTGGGCGGGCCTGCCAGGCATGTGCAGTAACCTGTGATGCTGGGAGAGATCCCAGATCTGCTGGGAAAGTTCTTAGAAGAATGATGAAAGCCCCTTCAGGCACCTCCGTCTCCCCCAGGTGCTCCCAGCCAAGATGGTTTTCAGGGCCTCTTTTGTATAGTGCCAAACTCCTGTCCCCTGGGAGCAGACAGATGGCAGAGGAAGTGGACAGCTGCACTGGTCTCATTGTCCTCTCTCTCCCTCCAGATTGAGTTTGTAACGGGCACCAAGAAAGGCACCACAACCAATGCCACAGCTACCACCACCACCACTGCCAGCACAGCTGTTGCAGGTAGAGTCCCCTCATCCAGCCTCGCACTGCCTCAGGGCCACCAGAGAGAGCAAGGGGTTCCTGGGTTGCCTAGAAAGGGTCGGTGCCCAGGCTTGGCCTTTCTAAGTTCTGCTGGCTGTGAGCATAGTCTTGGATCCTGGGGTAGGTCCCAGATTATGGCTCCCGTCTTGGCTCCTGGACCAGGGACCTCCCGTTTCTATCCTAAGCGTGCCTCTGGCTGACAGGAAAGGGGCTCTGCCTTTGGGGTCCTGTTTTGGTTGTTTTGATCTTAAGCTCTCTTGCATTACCTCTAGATGCCCAAAAGAGAAAGAGCAAATGGGACTCTGCCATCCCGGTGACGACAATAGCACAGCCCACCATCCTCACTACCACAGCCACCCTGCCAGCGGTGGTCACTGTCACCACCAGTGCCAGTGGCTCCAAGACTACCGTCATCTCTGCTGTGGGTACTATTGTGAAGAAGGCCAAGCAGTGACCAGAGGACACCCCCAGGACTTGACAGGACTGTGCAGCCCAGTAACTTCTGCTCACTGGGAGGCGCCACTCTATGTTTCAGGACTGAGATGTGCTTCCCATGTGCCTTCCAAGAGGAGCCTCTCTGTGACATTCCAGCTGGAAGGACATTGCAGCAGAGGCAATGGGCGCGTTGGACAGTCTGTCCACACACCTCTTGGGGGCTCACCCAATTAAAAGTACTGGATTCTTAGGTCCTGGCATGTCAGGTGCACTGGCCTCTCCCATGCTGTGTTCAGGCAAACATGAAGCTCAAGTGCCCTCAGCAGCAGTCAGGATTATTGCTCAGGATGAACTGTGGTGTGACGGGAACTGTGGGGAGTACTCGAGGAGCTACCATGGTCGTTCCCAGTGTGTGCCCGTGGTGTGGGCAGGTGGGAGTTCAAGGAGGGGTCAGACACATCCTCTCCTGTTGTCTACTTTCCTGATCCCCAAACCAGATCTCAATAGTCCTCAGGCAGTAGTAGCAGAGGCCCTGCTCTCGTGGGTGCAGTTAGGCGCTCCCCACATTGCTTCTGATACACACCCAGGCATTTGAAATCGGGCCAGATGGCAGAGGGCTAGGATGTGATTCCCAACCTGCCCAGGGCAGGAGCAAAGTGGGACCCTGGCCAAAGCCGCCAAGGCCCTCGGTACCTAGTGAGTGTGGCCAGCAGGATCCACACAGTGGGGGAGATGAATCACCTCCTGCTCTGCCCGGGCGTCGACTCATTGTTTATGTGAGAGCTCTGCTCTTGGGAAGGTCTCCACCACCCCACCCTTCCTCTGCTGTTATCTCTGCACAGCAGCAGCCCCTGGGCAGCTCCATTGGCCACTCTCAGAGCCCACACAGGCTCACCAACCCAGTGCTGGAGGGAAAGCTTGCCTTTTGTGCCCTCTGGCAGCTCTCCTTCCCACTCAGAGGAAGGGGTAAGTGTCAAAGGAGGAAGTCAGGCTGTGAAGGGTCCTGCTGCTTCCATAGGACCAACAGAGACGACGAACTTGCCTCTAAGGTTGTGGTTGGTGGTGGTTGTGTGATCTGAGGACCAACAAGCTGCTTGTGAGATAAAATAAAAGCCGAGTCACTATTGTCCCTTTCTCTCCTTGACAGTGCTCTGCAGTTGGGGGGAGGGACACATGCTGCCAAGAGCACCTCTAGGAAGGCCTGCCCTGTGGGCCCTGCAGGCGGCCCAGGACAGCCAGGTGTGAGTAACTGCACAGGGATGCACCTCAGCTCTTGGAGTTCAGTCTGCAGCAGCCTCCCAGCCACGTCCTGTCACACACTGTCCTCAGTAACACACTTCCCAAGGCTGTCAAGAGGGGTCTGAGAGTGAAGCATGAGCTTTGCGAGGCAGAAATGAGAGCAGCCAGGCTGGGGAGTTGGCCACGTGCCCATCAAGGACTGTTTCAGATAAGGGCTCAGGAAGCCCAGACTAGCCTTGCACCCCTGATCCTGCTGCCTCTGTTTCCCAAGCGCTGGGATGGGACTGTGCCATCACACCTAATATGGTATGGGGACTGAACCCAGGGCTTCCTTATGCTAGGCCAACACCAACTGCGCCACATCCCCGACTTGTATCAGGTCTCAGAGGTGGGATGCTGAGAGTCTGGCTGTCGGCTGGGCACTCCTAAACCATCACTGTGCTGCCAGTTCACTTTCTCCTTTCCTGTAGTTCAGTATCCAAGCTGAGGGACTGGGGAAACGCACCTTTAGTGTTGTCCCTCCAGTTAGCCTAGTCCGCATGATGCGTCACAGGCATGCTCAGAAGCTGGGGAATGTCCACAGCTGATTCCAGACATCAAGAAGGGAACCAGCCATCACAGAGTGGCCGGTTCAGCATCTGAAGGTGTGGTCACTGGATTCAGATTGGCACTCTATGCCCCAGGTTCATGCTGTGACTATGTAACTCTGCCTTGTATGACTAAGCCACCACTGTTGCCAGTGGTGATGTGCTGGAGGCCAAGTAATGAGCAGGGGCCTGCCATTCTGTAACTTACGCTTTTAGATGTTAAGGTTGGGGAGTGTGGTGCCTGGGATCAGGGCTTTGTGCTCTACCACTGAGCTAATCCCAGGTTCCAGACCCTTCTAAAGAGAGGTGTGCCCTGTGTAGCCCAGGCTAAAACAGCCCTGGCTGTCCTGGAACTAACAGAAATCCACCTGCCTCTGCCTCCTGGGTGCTGGGATTAAAGGTGTGTGCCACTGCACCTGGCATTGTTTTTGCATTTTTGAGTTGGAGTTTGGGGACAAGGAGATGGCCTAGTGGACAAAGCGCTTGTTGTACAAGCAAGGACCGGTGTTCAGATCTCAGCATCCACAGAAGCTGGGCCAGACAGCGTGCTGGGGGCAGAAAACCCTGCTCGAAAGATGAAGATGGGAAGCAATAGAGGAAGACGTCCCAGAATCCACCTTGCCTCTGCACACACATGGATGCATGCACACACTAAAACAGCCCACACTAGCTCCAAACGACCGGGTTCAAGTGATCCTCCTGTCTCGGTCTCCTAAGTAACTGGGACAACAGGTGTGTGCCATAATTTACACCCAGCTCTCAGTTTGTATACGGTGGGTGGAGTTGGAGTAATCTTCAGGAGAAAGTAAGTGGGAAAGCCAGAGGCAGAACAGTGCAGACGGCATGCCTCATTCTGTATAAGAAAGGAAATTCGAGAGACTGGAGAGGTGGTGCAGCAGCTGAGAGCACACACTGCTCTTCCAGAGGACCCTAGATTACTTCTCAACACCCTCATCCTGTGTCTCACTGTAACTCCAGTTCCAAGGGGACCCCCATGCCACAGACCTGGGGTGCTTGCATTCATGTGCACATATCCACACAGAGACACACATAACAAATAATTTAGAATAAAAATCCTTGAAAAGAGAGAAGAAAGTAATACAAGAGTACGGAAGAGAATAGGGACTGGGTTTGTGGCTCTGTGCTAGAGCATACAACACACAACAAACAGGAGACCGGGCTGCAATTCCCAGAGTGAAAAAATAAATAAAGGCAGGAAAGAAAGGAAAGTAGCTCCCTGGTGCTAATCTGAAGGCTGGGTATTTGTAATACTTAAAAACATTGCACTCCAGCAGCAATGCACCCAGATCTTGAGTCCACACAACAAAGGACAGGCTCTGAGGAGGATGGCTGGTCTCGGAATCCAAGTGGCATGGGAGAAGTTTGTTGCAGAAAACAAGGACTGCCGGTGAGGGTAGGAGCTGTTTTGATGGTTTTTGCTGTTGGGGTGATCGGTTGGGTTTTCTGAGGGAACTGTAGCTGGAAGAGAACTCAACCTGGCTCAGAATTTGCAGCAGATCTTTTCACCTGAGCGTCCCAGAGTTGAGGTTACAAGAATGTGTGTCCCACCATGTTGGACTCAAAGAGCTATTGGTGTGAGGTAGGGGAGGTTGAGGCGGGGTCAGAGAGCTATTGGTGTGAGGTAGGGGAGGTTGAGGCGGGGTCAGAGAGCCGTTTTGAAGTGATTTCTCAACTTTCTACATTTCCTTAAAATGTAAACATTAAGAAAAAGTGAGTCGGTTGTGATCAAAGTCCTTTGATCTAGCACTCTGGAGGCAAACACAGGTGGATCTCTGAAGTCCAAGCCAGGCAGGACTACATAGTGAGACCCTGTCTCAGAAAAAGAGGAAAGAAAGAGAAAGAAGGAAGGTAGGAAGGAAGGAAGGAAGGAAGGAAGGAAGGAAGGAAGGAAGGAAGGAAGGAAGGAAGAAGGAAGGAAGGAAAGAGTTAATAAAAATCTCGTCGTCATTTGTTTTTATTTTATTACATGCATGGGTGTTTTACTGCACCATGAGGGTGTCTGGTCCCATGGGGGCCAGAGGGGTGCTTCAGGTCCTGTGATTGTGAGTAAGTAACTATGTAAGTGCTCAGAACTAAAACCAGGCTTCTGCAAGAACAACCAGAGTCTTTTAACATGATGAATCATCTCTCCAGGCCCCTATAGTGATATTTTTGAAAAGAAAAGCATGAGCCGGGTGGTGGTGACACACGTCTGTAATCTCAGCACTCAGGAGGCAGAGGCAGGCGAATCTCTGAATTCAAGGCCAGCCTGATCCACAGAGAAAGTTCCAGAACAGCCAGAGTTATACAGAGAAACCCTGTCTTAAAAAGAAAGAAAGAAAAACAAAAATAGAAATATGTATTTGCCACCACTAAAGTTGAAGAGTATCAAATCATGATCCTGCAATTGATAATTAAAAGAAAGGTGGTGGTTCAGCAGGGAAGGGTGCTTCCAGCCAAGTCTGAGGACCTGAGTTCAAACTCTAGGACCCACGCAGTAGGAGCCACCCTGCAGTCCTAGAGCGATAACCCTCCTCCTGAAGAAAGACAGGCAGACCCACCCACAAAGCTGGGCCTCCGGGAAAGTCAGTGTGCAGGAAGGGGACGGGCTTCCACGTCACTTTTGAAGTAGAGAATGGGAGGGGAAGCTGGTGTGCATCTCAGACAAATGTTGGAGTTGGTCGCCATGGGGACTATCTGTGATGATGTTTCCTCTGGGGAATCAACTTGCGGTTTTGCTTTTCAAAACTTGGCTCCAGGTTTTTTTGTTTTTTATTATATGAAGAGAGGAAGAGGCCAGAGCAGCTCAGCTGATATAGATTCAATGAGGGGAAGAGGGCTTGCCAGATTGGATCAGCTGATCCAATCAACCGTCTTTGTGACCCCAGCCTCCCGCCATTGGTGGGTGAGGACAGCACTCTCCCCTCCGAGGAGCAGATGGCTGGAGGTGTACGTTCGTAGCAAGAAATCAGCAGGGAGTGGAGGGCAGACCACACTGGAGAGAAGGATAAGGGTGTTTGTCTAAGCCAGGATTGCTCGGGTCCTCAGACTCACCCTGGGGATTCCCTCTGTAGTCAACTGGCCGTACTGACCAGTTCTATAAATACTCTATAAATAAGCGTTTTCTCTTATCCTTTCTGTGTGTGTGTCTGTGTGTGTTTGCCTGTGTATGTGTCTGTGTGTGGGTACCTGTGTGGCACATTTCTAGGATTAACACACACCTGCATGTGTATGCAAAGACCAGAGGTTGACATCAGATCACCGGATGCCTTTTTTTATGTGCGTATGATTGTTTTGCCTGCATATATGTAGCACGTATGTGTACATGGTGACCAAGGAGGTCAGAAGAGGGCATCTGATCCCTTGGAACTAGAGTTAATGAGCGTCAGTGCTGAGAGCTAAACCAGGGTCCTCTGCAAGAGGAAGTGCTCTTAACTGGTTAGCACTTCCCTTTTTTTTTTTTGGACAGGGTCTTCTGTATAGCCCTGGCTGTCCTGGACATCACTACGCAGACTAGACGGCCTTGAACTCACAGAGATCCACGTGCCTCTTCCTCCAGCTGGGAGCAAAGGTGTCTGCCACCCACCTGACCTACCTTATCATTTACGGTTTGTGTGTGCAGATAACACGGTACACATGTGGAGGTCAGAGGGCAACTGGTGGGGTGGGTTTTCTCCGCCGACCTTATCCGAGTTCCAGGACCGAACTCAGGTCCACACTGCACCTTTGTCCACAGACCATCCAACTGGCCTTCCACTTTATTTTCGAGACAGGATCTTCGGCTGAGCCTAGAGAGCGCTCTGTCTTTGATAGACTGGACAGCCACCTGCCTCCACCCTGTGGGGTTTCAGGAGCATGCCAGCACCCCACCCCCACCCTGCATTCCTCTGAGGGTTTCTCATGCTTGAATGACAGGCACTTCACCCACTAGGGAAACCCAGACTCATCTAAGACTATGACCCTGAAGAACATTTAAAAAGTCAACATGGAGAATGAAAAGCTATCCTAGATTAGGAAGGAGACATGGTCAGGGCCACAGGAATTAGACTGGGATTCAAAAGGAAACCATTGTGATAGACATGTCCGGGCAGTTAAGGAAATGTAACCACGGACTGAGTCACAGAATACTGAAAAGACGTTGTTGTTGATGTTCTCAGGGGAATCAGTCTGAGAGACGGTAAGGGGTTTTCTCAGATGGTGTCGGAGTACAGACGGATGAAAGATTAAGATACGTGCAATGTAAACAGAGGGATGAAACAGTTGGGTATGAAAAGCAGGGACACACAGAGCTGGGAGGATGTTCCCTGCGTGGATGGGTGCCTCAGAGACATGAGAATGAGCTTATAGCCCAGCACAAGTAGCTGGCAGGTGTCTGAAATCACAGCCCTCCTAGGCTGAGAATTCTCAGACGCTCACAGGCCAGCTAGCCTGCCGTACGCAGTGACAAACAAGAAGAGCCACCTCAGGGCAGAAGGCAAGGCCAAGACCTGAAGCTGGCCTCTGACCTCCACACACATACACATACAGAGAATTTAAAAACATGCACACACACACACACACACACACACACACACACACACACACACACAAGCATACAGCAATGTAGCAAAATTATACTTTTGAGGATAGATGGTAAAAATTAAAGTGGGGATGTTTGCATCCTTCAGCATCTTCTCACATTCGTGTGTACATGTGGTATGCTTGTGTATCCGTGTTTTTACGCGTGTGCGTGTTTATGTGTATGTGGGTGTGCATGTACACAGAGGCCCAAGGCTGATGTCAGGAAGCCTCCTCCGTTGCTCTTCCGCCTTTTCCATCAAGGCATGATCTCTCAGCCAAACCCAGAGCTCCCTGATAGCGCCAGACAGCAGGTTCTGAGGACCCAACCCCTCTCTCCACCTTCCGAGGCTTGAATTATAGAAAAGGCTGCCACTCTAACCCCACATTTCATGGAGTCTGAGGGGGTCTAGGCCACATGGCAAGACTGTGGGCAGTGGAACACAACACACCCTTGAGACAAATGATTCAGACTGGGGTTTGCTGGGGTTCACATGGGCATCTGGAGTGTCTCATTCACATTGGAGCTCATTAATCACTGGTAAACAAAACAAGGGATTGAACTAGTGAATGAAGTTTTATTCCCTGTATATTACTAGGGATTAAGCCTACAGATAAGCCTAGGCCTAATGCACTCCAGGCAAGTGTAATATCCTCAGCCATTTGTTCATCTATGTAAAACAGGGGCTCCAAACTAGCCTCCGACTTGCCAGGCAGCCCAGCAGGTATACAGACTCACTCTGTAGACCAGGCTGGCTTCGAACTCACAGAGATCCGCCTGTCTCTGCTCCCTGAGTGCTGGGATGACACGCTTGTGCCACTGCTCCAGTTTAGGCACAGTTTTAATGCTCCTTCAATGCTCCCGCAATAGCCTCCCAAGCAGACCACCAAACCCAAGAGTTATTTTATTTTTATAAAATTAGCAGATAGAACCAGCAAGATGGCTCAGAAGGTAAAGGCACTTGCCACTCAAGCATAGTGGCCTGAGTTTGACCCCATAAATGCACGGAAAGATGGAAGGAGAGAAATGACTCCACGTGTCCTCTGACTTCCACGTGTCCTTTGTGATCATCGTGCACACATGGACATACTATATTAAAAGGGTTTTGTTTGGCTTGGTTTGGTTTGGTTTTTGATGTTTCAAAACAGGGTTTCTCTGTGTAGCCCTGGCTGTGTGAGTCCTGGAACTTGCTCTGTAGACGAGGCTGGCCTGGGACTCACAGAGACCCACCTGCTCCTGCCTCCCTCCCGAGCGCTAGAACTAACGGTATACACCACCACTGCCCAGCTAAAAGTTTTTGTGTTTTTAATCAGCATGTAGGAGATGAGAGATGGCTCATCAAGTAAAAGCACTCGTTACACAATCTTGATGATCTGAGTTTGATTTCCAGAACCCATATTAAAAACCATACGAAAAGGCCTGTGTCTGTAATCTCAGTGCTCCTGTGGTGAGAAGGAGGTAGAGACTGCAGAATGGTCCCAAAGCTTAGGGAGCAGCTAGCCTGGAACAGTCGGCGCAGCAGTGGAAACCAGAGGCCCTGCTCCAACAGCGTGTCAGAAGAGCCAGCTCCTGGCAACTGTCCTCTCACTTCCACTCATGTACCTATACTCACAGAGGTCCACCTGCCTCTGCTTCCTGAGTGCTGGAATTAAAGGCTGGCACCGCTGTATTTTATACTCGTTTATCTGGGAGAGTGGAATGGCTGTACACACCACAGAGGACTTGTGAGAATGAGTTCCACTCAGGTCATTAGGTTTGACAGCAGGCACCTTGACCCATTAGGCCATCTTGCCTACCCACACTTTTTTTTGAGCTCCTGCTATGTACCAGGCACCAGGGCTGGGGAAGACCACCCTTCTCTATAGCTCAGACCTGGGCATTGGCCTTCCCACCTCTCCTGATTTGGGTCACCCCAGGTGGGGTCAGAAAACATCTGTTTTCAGAGTCCACAGCCCGGAGGGATGATCATTTCAAACCAGTATAGCAAATGCCATGAAGAAGCCATTCCCTGGTCCAGAGGTACAGCTCAGTGGCAGAGTACATGCTTGATGTGTGTGAAAATCTGCGTTTACCCACGATATCAAAAGGAAAACAGTAAGAGAGCAGGCATGGTGGTGAGTGCCTGTGATCCCAGCACTTGCAAGGTAAAGGCAGGAGAACTACCACAAATTCAAGACTAGCCTGGGCTACATAGTGAGACAAGGTCATATTCTTGGACTTACAGCCCAACAGAGGGGGTGGGGAAGTCAAGGAAATCTTAAGATCTTGTAACATTAACCCAGGGTCTACAAGGGTAGGGCTAAATCAAGAGTTTGGAGAAGGGACTGGCTGAGGTGTCGAGTGCTTCCCGGGCACAGCTAGCAGGTGAGACTAGAGAGGAGAAAAATCAAGTTGGGGTCTTGCAACGCCTCAACAGGCTCGTTATGAAGCAGAAGCGGGGCCTGAAAGGGGCTTGAGAGCCTGCAGGGAAAGAATAAGATTTGTGAGTCGGCCTGTCACCAACACTGTAACAACCTATGAGTGCTACGGCACATAGGTCACGTGGTCCCTTGACGGCTACTATTTCATTTTCAGGAGATTTGAGAATCTGAAGGAACCCAGCCCTTGCCTGTCGCTTGTCTAGCCACATCCCTAGAGGCTGAAAGAACCCAGTAGCCAGGAGTGCTCAGTTTCCCGACCAGCTGGGGGCACGACCCGTCCTGGCGCTGACACGGAGAGGGTGGTGTACGACCCGATGGCCGTCGAGGCAGCGGGACCGGCCCAGCTGGGCTCAGTGCCCAGCGGCTGTATGTTAAGAAGCCGACCCGCGACCCGGAGCGGCCGGGGCACCGGTCCGGGAGCCTGGACGGGTGGGGAGGCCGGAGCCCGGGTCGGTGCTGTGGGGAGGAGTGGCTCCTCCCCCAGGCCCTCCGCGGCGCTCGGGGCTCGCGGCCGGCGCCGCTCGAGCCGCAGCCCTTTCCGGGGGGCGGGCCTGGCGGCTGCGGCGACACCCCGACTCCTGCCCCGACAGGTGCGCGCAGCGCGCAGGAATGCGGCCCGCCTGACTCACCAGCGCCTCCTTCCTACCTGCGCCGCCCGCCCGTCCATAAAGCGCTGCTGGCTCCCGCCCGCCGCCGCCCGCCCTGCTGCCCCGCCGGGCTCGCCCGCGCGCTCAGCTTGATCCAGCGCAGCCCAGGCGGTCCCACCAAGGTAGGTGCAGCTCCAGCGGGGGCCAGGCGTCCGAGGGCACGCCGCTTGCCCCAGTGCCCCGGGACAACAGGGCTAGCGAGGACAGCGAGTCCCCACTCCCGCCCGGGGCTTTTGTTTCCCTTCCCTTCCCTGAAGATTTGCAGGCCCTGGCTCCCTCTGCCCATGCTGCCAGGACAGGTGCCAGGCTTGCCAGGATGTGGGCAGGGGACAGCTGGGAGCCAGAGTGGTTGGGATGTAGGGGAAGGATGGTGGCCATCGGTGACCCTGCTAGAGGAGGACATTGGGCAGGTGTGCGATAGGAGTGGGTAGAGGCTGGGGGCTCCCCGCCCCCCACGGGGATCTGAAGACAGTAGAGCAACGACTACCTTGCAGCAAGCCCCCTCCTTGTTGGGCTTGGCAGGACCTTCTGTGTGGTGACCCTGTGCGTTCGGGGCACGGGGAGTCCCTGATTTTCCTCTTGGCGGGCCAGCAGCCTGCTGCTCTTCTTAAGGCCCACGCCAGGCTCCTTTTCTCAGGGAGCTTTCAGAATCTCACCCAGCAGCCCTGAAAGCACTGCTCCCCCCGTAACGTACTCGCCCCCACCCCTCGCAACAGTCCCTGGGGAAGCCTTCTGGCTGTCAGTGTGGCCCGGGACTCCAGGTGGCTCCCAAGGGCAGGGACAGACCTCTTGCTACCACACCCTGGGCACAGGTTTCAACCGAGGTGGCGAACTGTTTCTGTCCTATCAGGACTACAAGTGAAAATTGAGTCTCCTGGGGGCTGAGGAGGTTTCTGAGAACCCCAGAGAAGGAGTGCTTGTCTCCTTAAGCCTGGTTTCCAGTGGGTGGCAGGGTAGGCAAGGGGCTATTACAGCTTCAAGCACTGCTGTCCTGTCTGCTCGGGCCAGCCTGCCATGGCCTCATACAATGATGGCGTCCACAGTCCTGACCTTTATGTGAAATCTTGTTGTTTCTATAATGGGCGATTACTTTTAGAACTTCTAGAACTTTTTAAAATGCAAGTTGGGTCAAAGAAAACACTTGAGTGTCTGCCTGGGCCCTTATTTGCCATTATATAGTGTGTGTGTGTGTGTGTGTGTGTGTGTGTAGGTTCAGTGTGGAATCTGTGCTGTCCCCAAATCTTTACTGCACCCTCCCAATGCTGACGGCTGGATGGGTCCCACGGCCCCTGTGGTCCTGTGTAGATGCCTTGGTAATCCTGTACTGCCGTGCTGGTTGGTGTTGTCATCTTGGCCACCTGTGACAGCTCTGTGGACTGGGCCCATGAAAAGAGCTGCGTTTGTCCCTCCGGTGCCTATACCTGCCTAGGTAATGGTACCCTGGGGAGGCCAAATCTGCAGCTTGCATTTATGTAGCTTGTGGGTGTGGTGCCTACGCCCAAGGCTACAAGAAACTCATTTCTCTCAGGAGCCACCCCTCTGCTGATTCAGGGCTCCCTTCTAGCCACTGCCCTATTGGGCTGGCTCGGCCTGTGGATGGGCTAGGGCTGCTGTCTGCCTCCCCAGGGACCATGGCTTGGATGCAAGGAACAAGGCCTGCCTACTTCCTTTTCTGAAGGGAAGGCTTCAACCTCACAGACCCTAGGGCTGCCTCTGTCCTACTACCTAAGGTGCTAAGAAGAGGGACAATAGATGTGGCCTTGTCTGGGCCCCTGGGAGTTCTGACCCTGGAAAGAGAGGTGTGGCCCTGGCCTTTGCCCTTCTCTGTGCAGGCCATGGTAGCTCTGGGGCCAGCCTCTTTCCTTACAAGGCTTTGGGCTGCCCAGCTTTTAAAGACCTGGAAAGTTGTGGATATGATGAATTGGTTTAACAGTGCTCTAAAGACCATGATTGTGTGACAGTGGGCAGCGGGGGCTTCTAAACTTCCCCTAGGCCCTGCTCAGGGATCCTGAAAACACAACTCTGGGGTAGGTAAAAGTTGAGGGGGAAAGAAGTGTTTAGAGGCCACACTGACCAGTCATGTAGAATGCAGCCTGGACCTCTCCTCTGGATCCCACACAAAGATCAGGACAAGAGGCACAGGGCAGGCAGCAGGGACACCACGCCCCTGTAGAGGAAGCCTACCCGCTAATAGACCATGTCTCTGCCCGCCGGGAACTGAGGGGCAAAGACAAAAGAACAGCCTACCCCACCTTCACTGACACAAGCTCCAAGAGACGTGGTACTGGATCATTCTCAGAGCCAAGAGCTCACAAAGACCAGAGAGCTCTTCCCTGGGCAGGGCAGAGGTATCAGAGCAACTGGTCACTGCAAGGATGGCAAGAAAAGCACTAGTGGAGAAGACAGGTATAAAAATACTTGTCTATGTCACTGACAAGCCGAGCATCCCCGCTGGCCACCTAAGCCATGACAGCTTCCATCTCTTCCATGTCCCAAGAGCTGGGGTTATGGGCATTATCCACCACACCAGGCTTGAGCCTCCATTGGCACACTTACACCTTGAGATAGTCTCGCCTGACCTGTGGAGTTCTGGTGGGGATCCAGGGAGCCCATGCTGCAGACCAGAGCTATAGAGGCATCACGTGTCCACTGCTGTGGTTTTGCAGGAGGAGAAGGATGGCAGTTCCGCGCTGCAGCCCGTGGGTGAAGCTGCTGCTGGCAGCAATGCTGAGTGTCAGCCTCCCTGGAAACATGGGTGAGTCGGAACATCCCTTCAGACCCCTCCAGGCAGCTTAAGACATGACCCTGTGTAAGTCAGTCAGCCTCTCAGGTTGGAGAGCCTGAGGATCACGCCCTGCCTGGTGGCCTGGGGTAGAAAGGAAGGGGGCTGTCTAGGGAGTTAAGCCACCCACTCAGAGGCAGAGCTGAGACCTCAGTGGTGGAGCTAAGAGTGTTGAGGGATATATCAACTACTCTCTTGAGTGTCCCTGGTTGGAAAATGACTCCTACCAATTAAATTTCCCCTGCCAGTTGAGGTCATGCTCATTACTTGGAGAGGACTATGGTTTGCATATTTACCCCACAAGAAATTGGCAATCACAGGGAGTCAAGGCATCTCTTCCCTCATCAAAATCATTACCCAACACTGACCAGGGAGCCATTGCTTAAAATCCAAGGGAGTTTTCACTGTGTGCTCTGATGCAGATGGCAGGGCCTTATTGTGATTCTAACTAAATAGAGCCAAGGAGAGCCCCAACAACATTGGTGGAAATTGAGGGCTTTCATCCCCTTTCTGAGAACCTACTGTGTGCCCAGCCTTGTATTAGGCACAAGAGTCCTATAATGAACAAGACAGGCATAGCTCCCTTGCTAGAGGAGGTTCAGGGCACAGACCAGTTCCCCAGCAGCAAGCTAGGAAGCACAAGCCATAATGAGGAGGGCCTGGCAGGGGAAGGTGGATGTGGCTTGTCACAGGAGTCTGGACAGATGGGAGTTTTTTAGGGCCAAACAATTACAGCCAAACTTTTGACATTGAGACATGATGTCATCTACAAAGTTCATGCTAGAGAACTATGGGATCAAGTTGCCAGCAAGAATCTCATGATGTCTTAAGTAAGCCTACTATTGTGTATTGATCTGCATTGATAGGTTTAGTCACACGAGTCCAAGGGCTACAGGCAAGACATACCTAGAAAGGATGGGTGTCAAGGGCAGTCTTCATCAACAAGGCCTGCTCTTCCACCGCTGTCTCTCTATCCATCCTCTTGCTTGAGGAAGCAGTTCCAGGTTTGAGACCTGGCCCTGCTCCCTCCCAGCTGTGTTGTATGGAGTAGCACATTCTCTCCCCCTCTCTCAGTTTGGGAGTGAGAGTCCACACTCCTCTCGGGTGAGGGTGTAGTTGGGAAGGATGCAGCCCTCCCTCACGCGCCCTCTTCTCCACAGCCAACCGCTGCAAAAAGGCTCAGGTGAAGACCTGTACAGAGTGCATCCGCGTGGACAAGAGCTGTGCCTACTGCACAGATGAGGTGAGCGACTGCCAGGAGTCTTTCTGGGCCAGCCTGAGCTACTCTCATCCACCGCCCCATCCCCCACCTCTGGCTCTGGCCAACTTGACTCCTGTCACCCCCTTAGCCTGGTGCCAGGCCAGATGGGTATATGAGAAGGGGTGAGGGTCGGGAGGTACCAGAAGGAAATAAACCAGGATTGGGACAGCCAGGCTCACTTGCACTGAGCCCATCTACTTCTGGCCAGCTGTTCAAGGAGCGGAGATGCAACACTCAGGCGGAGCTTCTGGCTGCAGGCTGCCGGGGAGAGAGCGTGCTGGTCATGGAGAGCAGCCTTGACATCACAGAGGTGCCTGGAGTGGGTTGGAAAGCTGGGCTCTCCATGCGTAAGATTGTCAGGACCATGATGCCCTGCGGCAGGCCTGGGATGTTCCTCTCGGGTCTCCAGCATGACCTTCTAATAAATTGCTCCACTCCCTCGGACACAGAACACCCAGATTGACACAACCCTGCACCGCAGCCAGGTGTCTCCCCAAGGCCTGCAAGTCCGGCTGCGGCCAGGAGAGGAGCGAAGCTTCGTGTTCAAGGTGTTTGAGCCTCTGGAAAGCCCTGTGGATCTGTACATCCTCATGGACTTCTCCAACTCCATGTCTGATGATCTGGACAACCTCAAGCAGATGGGCCAGAACCTGGGTACGGCTGCAGTGCAGAGAGAGTGGGAGGGTGAAGGGGGCTCGCCCAGCTAGCTCAGGAGGCCAAGACACGAGACAGCTGCATATCCCTATGAAAAGGCAAAACATCTCACACACACATCTGAAAGACGCCTCGTTCAGAGGGAGATTTTGGCCAGATCCCCCTCGCTATTTGAGATGTTACAGGAGAGCCAAGAACGGCAAACAGTGGAGCTATCTGGCCCTGACAAAGAGGAAATCTTCCTGCCTCAAGGCCATGAGTATGTCAGTTCTTCAGAGTAAACTGAGTTCAGTTCCCAGCTGCCCCACTGTTTCTAAGTTTATACGTCCCGTTTCCCCACCTGTGAACCCGAACAATGGGGCTGGAGCAATGGCTTCACAGTTAACAGCACTGGCAGCTCTTCCAGAAGCCCTGGGTTCAATTCCCAGCACCCACACAGCAGCTCACAACCATCTATAACTCCAGTTTCAGGGGATGTGACCCCTCTTTAGGCCTCCATTGGACACCAGAAGCACAGACATTTAAGCAGGCAAAATACTCATATGCATAAAATAAAATTTAAAAATACTGGAACAAGAGCTACAAGCACATGAGCTGACGTTCAATGTGCAGTATTTACAGGAGGTCACCTCTGCCAGCTTCCTCCTTCCTGAACCAGCACAGGGTCCCCTGTGGAGATGCTGGGATTAGCTGTCTTTCTTTTCTCCTGATGTTCAGCCAAGATCCTGCGCCAGCTCACCAGTGACTACACTATTGGATTTGGAAAGTTTGTGGACAAAGTCAGTGTCCCTCAGACAGACATGAGGCCCGAGAAGTGAGTGGGTCTGGGTGGGCAGGGGTCCTGGCCGTGTTCTCCATCTCCTCTCATACTGGCAGTCGGAATTCTCCTCTGACCAGAATGAGTCATGCACATGAGCACATGGGACCTAACCTGACACTGACTCTATTTCCACCCCGACCCAGGCTGAAGGAGCCCTGGCCCAACAGTGATCCCCCATTCTCCTTCAAGAATGTCATCAGCTTGACGGAGAATGTGGAAGAATTCTGGGACAAACTGCAGGGAGAGAGGATCTCGGGCAACCTGGACGCTCCTGAAGGGGGCTTTGATGCCATCCTGCAGACAGCTGTGTGCACAGTGAGTGCCCGGAGGGACCCTCCCAGCCTAGGCCAGGGCTGCAGCTTTCTGGGAAGGACATAAAATACTGCTGAGCTGTTCCACCACTATTAGGCTCAGAACCCGTTAGCAGGGTCCCCAGAGGCCTGAACCCTATTCCTTAAGATCATCCGACATTCCAGAACGGAGAAAACTCAGTTCTAACCTAGTTTTAATATGCTGGGAGTCAAGGTCCAGGACCATATGTGCAGAGTTGCAACCTGAATTTGTGTTGGCCCGTGAGGCAGACATGGCTCCAGTAGTTCCGGAACATTCAGGGCCCTGACGCTAGCTAGCCTACCAGATCATCTCCCAGATCTACAAGCTGCCCCATCTCCAGCTGTGCTGGCCGTTAACCGTTTACTTATGTCTGTGTGTACATGCCGCAGTACTGAGGTGTGTACACAGAGGTCAGAGGACAACTTTCAGGGATCAGTCCTCTCCTTTCCCCGTGCCTGGGTGAGGTATAACTCAGTTTATCAGGCTTGAAGACAAGTACCACCACCTGCTGAGCTAGCTCTCTGGCCCAGTGCCGGCACTTAAAATGGTCACTTCTTTTAATGCCTACATCATTTTTTTTTTTCATTTTGAAGATAACCTATCCATACTGCAAATAAATAGAAAACAAAAAACAAAAATTGCCTGTAATTCCAACCACAAATGGCCATTCCTTTGAAAGTCTGTTGGTATATTTTGTTCCTTTTCCCACATTTTTTGTCCTAGGATTATTTTTACAATAATTCTGAAACTTTTTTTTACTTAATACTATTATAAGTATTTTCTCTTGAAAACGCCCTATAAAAGCTGGGCTCAGTGGTGCATGATAGTAATCCCAGCACTCAGGGAAGTAGAGGCAAATGGATCTCTGTGAGTTTGAGGCCAGCCTGGTCTACAAAGCAAGTCGAGGACAGCCAAAGCTACACAGAGAAACCCTGTCTTGAAAAACCAAAATAATCAAAAGAAAGAAAAAAAAGAAAGAAAGAAAGAAAGAGAAAAGACCCTATACAAATTCAGGCAGGACGATATATATCACATTTCTAGCACTTGGGAAGTGGAGGCAAGATGGTCAGGAGTACAAGGTCATCCTCAGCTACATACTGAGTCCAGGACCAGCATGGGCTACCTGAGATCCTGTCTAAAAAACAAAACAGGCTGGGCAAAGTAGTGCACACCTTTGATCCCAGCGCTTGGGAGGCAGAGGCATGGGGATCTCTGAGTTTAAAACCAGCCTGTTTTACAAAGTGAGTTCCAAGACAGCAGGAGCTACATAGTAAGGCCCTGTCTTGATAAACAAAGCAAATAAGTAAGTAAGTAAGTAAATAAATAAATAAATAAACAAACAAACAAACAAATAAATAAATAAAGCGGAACAATGGGATAGAGAGGTGGCTCGGCAGTTAAGAGAGCTGACTGCTTTTCCAGAGGACCCAGATTAAATTTCCAGCGCCCACGTGGTGGCTCACAACTGTCTTTAACGCTGCTTCGAGGTAATCTGACTCACTCTTCCAGCCTCTACAAACATCATGTATGCATGCGGTATACGTACAGACAGACATGCAGGCAAAACATCCATATACATGAAATAAATGTTATTTTTACTATATTTATTTTTGTTTTATGTACAGTGGTGTTTGACTGCATGTATGTCTATGTGTGGGTGCTGGATCCCCTGAAACAGGAGCTACAGACAGTTGTGAGCTGCCATGTGGGTGCTGGGAATTGCTGGTCCTCAGCAAGCAGCCTGCTTAGGGGCGTGCCCTCCTTCCCTTCCAGAGGCACATCGGCTGGAGGGCTGACAGCACACACTTGCTGGTGTTCTCCACCGAGTCCGCCTTCCACTACGAGGCTGATGGTGCCAACGTGCTGGCTGGCATCATGAACCGCAATGATGAGAAGTGCCACCTGGATGCCGTGGGCACCTACACCCAGGACAAGACACAGGACTACCCGTCTGTGCCCACACTGGTGCGCCTGCTCGCCAAGCACAACATTATCCCCATCTTTGCCGTCACCAACTACTCTTACAGCTACTATGAGGTATGAGGCCCGGGCCCCCTGGGCCCATGGGGATGGGGCAGGGGGTGGGCGGGACGGAACTTCTCAGACCTTCCTCCCTTCATTCTTCCTTCCTCATGTTTTCCACCTCCCGTCCCAAAGCTTCTGGGTCCGTGGGAATGGACTCAGGTGGAAGGGCTCTTGCCCGTGCCCTAACTGAACTTCCAAGCAGAGGAGAGGATAGGTCCCAGAACATATTAGCAGGCTCAGTGCCCGGTTTTCCCGAGTGCGTAGTGGAACTTAGGAAAATACAAAGCGAAGGAGCTTAACCCAAGGCCTGTGTTGTCTGCTACAGAAGCTCCATAAATACTTCCCGGTCTCCTCTCTGGGTGTGCTGCAGGAGGATTCGTCCAACATCGTGGAGCTGCTGGAGGAGGCCTTCTATGTGAGCAGTGTGGGCTGCAGGGGCTGAGCCCTTCTGGGACAGGGAAGGAGGAAGGAGAGCGGGTGACAGGGTGAAACATGAGGCCAGTGAGGCAGGGTCTCCGGCCAACTGGAGGAGCCTGAGTGTCTGCTTGGCAGTGGTCCTAGGCTCCTGCAGGATCTGCCATGGTGCTCACATACACACTCACATGTGTCTTCCAGTCTAGTCAGGCCAGGCCAAGATGGGTGAGCCCAGCCTCCACACAGACCACTGATCATTTCCTCTCCTTCAGCGGATTCGCTCCAACCTGGATATCCGGGCTCTGGACAGCCCACGAGGTGTGAGGACAGAGGTCACCTCCGATACGCTCCAGAAGACAGAGACTGGGTCCTTTCACATCAAGCGGGGAGAAGTGGTATGCTCCTGTGGATACAGAGGGAGGGGAGGTTAGGTGTAGCATCCAAAAGGAGTGGCGTCTTCTAACAAAGGACACTCATGGGCGCTGGCATTCAAATCTTCTGGCAGCGACCTCTCGGGCAAGGTTGGCACACTTGTCTGTTTGCTCACGTCCCTGTCCACATAGTGGGCGCCAATAAGAGGTTGTAGCACTGAGGGTTGCTAAAATCAGCAAGCGGGCTAATGTCCAGAGCCAGAATCCACAGCCCTAAGCAAGGGCCATCGGGGAGTTAGGGATCAGGACGTACATCTAGCCCAGAAGCCTGCGGGCCAAGAGCTTGGGTCATCAGAGCGAGACCTCCTAGACTGACCGTGGGATCCCTGCAGGGCACGTACAATGTGCAGCTTCGGGCAGTGGAGGACATAGATGGGACACATGTGTGCCAGCTTGCAGAAGAAGACCAAAGAGGCAACATCCACCTAAAACCCTCCTTCTCCGACGGCCTCCGGATGGATGTGAGCGTAATCTGTGATGTGTGCGCCTGTGAGCTGGTAAGATTCAGCCCGGCTGTGGGGGAGGGAGGCGCTGAGCTGAGCACCAAGACCCCGGAGCCTCCTGTGGACACATGTCCCTGGAGGGCTGCTCAAGTCAGAGCAGCAGAAATACCCCGTGGCAAAGCCAGGCATGATAGAAACACCTATAACCCGGGCATTTAGGAGGCCAGAAGAAGAAAACCTCAAATTCGAGGCCAGTTTGGGCTATATGGAAAGTTCCAGCCAGGCGGTGGAGGTGCAGAGGCAGGAGTTCAAGGCCAGCTTGGACTACAGAATTCCAGAATGGCTGGGGCTACACAGATAAGCCCTGTCTCGGGAAGAGAAAAAAAAAGAAAGGAAGGAAGGGAGGAGAGAGGAAGGAGGTTCCACACCAGCCTCAGCTGCATAGTGAGACCTTGTCCCTCTCCCCACTAAGTACACACCATGGTCTTGTTGCAGCAAAAGGAAGAACAGTCAGCTCGCTGCCACTACAGAGGTGACTTCATGTGCGGACACTGTGTGTGCAATGAGGGCTGGTAAGTGGGGCCGGGAGCCTACCCTGGGTCTTCAGTCACGGGACAGTCCTTGTATATTTTCAGCTAGGGTGGGATGGCAGATCCTAGAAGGGGGAGGAGGGGTACACCCAATGGTTCGGCAAATCCAGTTCAGGCCCTTTAGGGTGCTCCCTACGTAACCAAATGTGACTTAGTCTCTTTGGGGCTTGTTTTATTTTGGTTGGTTGGTTGAGGGGTTTTTTGCTGTTGTTGTTTTGTTTTGTTTGTATCGCTTTATTGTCATCATTGCGATAAGGTCTTATTGTGCAGGGCAGACTGGCCTCAAACTCACAATCCTGTCTCAAACTCCCGAGTCCTGAGACTATAAATCTATGCCACCAGGCCTGTCTCTGATCTCCAACTCCTCCTCTTCCTCTTTAGTTGTGCAAAAGTGACAAGACATTAACCTAGCCGAGGCTACACTGTTACCAGCTCAAGTGCTATAAATGTGATTCAATTTACAATGGGTTTGTTGGGCATAACCTCATGGTAAACTGAGGCGCATCCATACATGGACATGTGGACCTTTTCTGAGTGTCTTTCTGGCTGTCAGGGATGGGGGTGGGGCTGGGCATTGAGAGCAGGTGTGACTTGCTTTTCACTTCATCTTTTCCACAACACGCAGACAGACCGCATAACTGGAAATGAGCTTAGTAGCAGATGTGGTGGTTCACATCTGTAAACCTAGCACTCAGGAGGCAGGGGTCAGTGGATCTCTGAGACACTGAGGCTAGCCTGGTCTGTATATATAATACATTCCATGCCAGCCTGGCCTGTAGAGTGAGACCCTGTCTCAGAGAGAAAAAAAATTAGCTTGTGGGTGAGTATTGGTAAGGGTGTTTAAAGCTTCTAGATACTTGCTGGCTGAAGTGCTTTATGGACCGACCACTTGGTTACTTGGGGAGCTGAGGCAGGAGGATTCCTCAAACCCAGCAATATAGTGAGACCTTAAAGAGAGAGCAAACCTACCTTAGCCAGGTGGTGATAACCTGCTCGTGATCCCAGTACCAGGAGGCAGAGGGAGAATATGGACCAAACTAGCCTAGTCTTAGTCTCAAGTCAGCCAGGGCCTCCTAGAAAGACCCTGTTTCACAACAAAGACAAGCAAAATCTCCCTGAGACACTGAGCAAGTCTGTGGTGACTTGAGACAGAAGAACACTGAAGGGGGACAATTACTGAGCAGACGACAGGACCCTGAGGCTTCGGTTTCAGCTGAGCCGCTGCTGTCTGCAGGACTCGGACGTGCCTCCCACGTTTTGGAGTCTGAGTTTTGTGGTCTGCCAAGTAGGAGCCTAAAAGTCCCAGGCTTCCTCCCTGGCTGTGCAGAAGTGACCAGCTACTCCCTTAGGAGTGGCAAAACCTGCAACTGCTCCACGGGCTCTCTGAGTGACACGCAGCCCTGCCTCCGTGAGGGTGAGGACAAACCGTGCTCGGGCCGCGGTGAGTGCCAGTGTGGACGTTGTGTGTGCTACGGTGAAGGCCGCTACGAGGGTCATTTCTGCGAGTACGACAACTTCCAGTGCCCCCGAACCTCTGGATTCCTGTGCAATGGTGAGCTCAGCAGCCTTGGCCAGCACCGAGGGCAGGAAGGGTACTTGGTAGAGACAGGAACCCTCCAGTTCAAGTTCAAGGTCAGCCACAGCCCAACTCTCCCTGCAACCAAGGTCAATAACCGAGGTCCCTGACAGCTGCTAAGCACTCTTCCTACTCTAAAATCTCTACTCCCCAAGGCTGCCTCTGGCAACTTGGATCCCCACTCTAGGGGATGGAGACAATCCAGTTCAACCCCCCCCAAAGATTTACAGGAACATGGGAGAACAATCTTTCTTCTCTCCAAAGATGCAAAATTTCTAGTGGTTGGCCACGGATTTATGTCTCCTCCATATCTCCAAAGGGCCTACCACTGCATTGTGCCGGGGCCGTGAGTGCATAGTCTGGTAAGCTCTGAGATTATATAGGTCTGTCCTTATAGGTGGCACAACCCAGGCAGGGGGGACGCATGGAAACTGGTAGTTAGAGAAGAATAAAGGAAAATCCAACTATTAAACATTCATTAAACTCCCACTGTGCACTGGTCGCTGGATGCCATGCTCTTGCTTTTATGTATATAATGTATACAGGGCTCTGCCTGCATGTACACCTGCAGGCCAGAAAGGGCACCAGATCTCACGGTAGATGGCTGTGAGCCACCACGTGTTGCTGGGAACTGAACGCAGGACCTTTGGAAGAGCAGTGCTCTTAAGCTTTTGCTTTTCTATACCTTCCTCTATCCTTGTTGTTGTTGTTGTTGTTTTACTATTCTTAGTGTGTGTGTGTGCCTGTGTGTGTGTGTGTGTGTGTGTGTGTGTGTGTGGGTATGTGTGCGCATGTGTCTAAGCATACAGTCGGAGGTCAGAGGACAACTTGCAGGAGTCAGTTCTCTCCTCCCACCACGTTGGTCCTAGAGATTGACCTCAAATCATCAGGCTTGTCAGGCACCAGCCACTGAGCCATCTTACCAGCCCCTCCTTCCTCCGCCTGTCTACTGTTCCTTCTCTTCAGCTGTCCTTCCCAGAGTGCGGTGGAGAAATGGAGGAGTAAGCTAGGTGTGTCTGGATAGGGGCAGACGTCTAGCAGAGGTGGAGGTGTGAGCGAGAAGGTGTGAAGATGCTTGGGGCTTGGTGCAGAAGGGCCAGCGTACACGCAGCTTGAGCTGGGGGCCAGAAAGGGGACATTGGATGCGTCGCCTCACTTTCTGTGTGTGTTTGTCCTTTCGAAACCGAACTGTTTCCTGGTAGGCTCTCCTAGCCGCCTGGAACAGTTTTTGTGGCTTTAGTAAGACATTATTGATGGCTTGGGAGTGAGAGAATGCAGCTACAGTACAGGTGTGTGAGTTGTCCTTCTCCGCCCTCTGGGTGGGTTCTGGAGACTGAACTCAGACCATCACACTTGTGCCACACTTTTCCCACTGAGCCCTCTCACCAGCCCCTGGCAGTTTGACGTCTTATGTATTCATATCTGTACCTTTTCCTGGCCTTATTGTCTCATTGGAGAGTCTTGAACAAGGAAAACACAGGAATGGATTTGTGTTTGGGGATGGTCACTCTGCCTTCAGTAGAAGGCAGGACAGAGGGGAGGAGATTCCAGGGAACTGAGGGCCAGCTGCTACCACGGAGCTCCCAGGGGCCCACCCTGGCGGGTGCCCATCTTGAATTGCACATATGGAGGTGGTTCTGTTCTCCCTTCCTCCCTCTCTGTACAGACCGGGGACGCTGCTCCATGGGACAGTGTGTGTGTGAGCCTGGTTGGACAGGCCGCAGCTGTGACTGTCCCCTCAGCAATGCCACCTGCATTGACAGCAACGGGGTAGGCCTGGGCATGGGGCAGGTGCTGTGGGCGGTAGAGGGGACCCTGGCCAGTGCCGCTTGGGCTCTACGAGGAAGAAGAGAAAGGGAGCAGGCAAGCATGGAGCTCTGCCCGCTCACGGCCCACCCCTCCTGGCCCAGGGCATCTGCAATGGACGAGGCTACTGTGAGTGTGGCCGCTGTCACTGCAACCAGCAGTCGCTCTACACGGACACCACCTGTGAGATCAACTACTCTGCAGTGAGTGTGGGCATGAGAACCCCAGGCCCGGCAGAGGGCGGGAAGGAGAAGCTGGCTGAGGGCACGAGGCAAAGGGAGTTGGGTCCGCCAAGCATGACGTCTGTCCATTCGCCTCTCCCCACGCAGATACGCCTGGGCCTCTGTGAGGACCTGCGCTCCTGTGTGCAGTGCCAGGCCTGGGGCACTGGGGAGAAGAAAGGGCGCACATGTGAGGAGTGCAGCTTCAAAGTCAAGATGGTAGACGAGCTTAAGAAAGGTAGGGGCATCAGCATGGTCCCCCACACCCTTAATACCAGTACCGGGGAGACGGGGAGACAGCAGCAGGTAGAGCTCCGTATACATAGTGAGTTCCAGGACAGCCAGGGCAACATAGTGAGACCCTGAAAGAAAAGAAAAGAAAGAAAAAGGGGGCAGGGAGAGAGAGGGCAGGCAGGCAGGGAGGGAGAGAAGGAGGAAGGAAAAAAAGGGGTGTGTGTGGAAGGGGTCTGAGAGACACAGTGTTGAGAGTCTAGGCAGGGAGAGCCCAGCAGGGAAGAGGGTCATTCTCTCTTCTGGGGAAAAGGCTTGAGCTCTGAGTGGAGGTCACACAGCCCAGGCTGGGATTGTGAGCGGAGCTGTGAGATGCTTCAGGACCTAGACAGGGGACGCTGAGCCTAGTAAAGGCACAACGTTGGAGCAGGAGGCGCAGAACCCTGGTGGTGAGCACACAGCTGAGCAGAGAGTCCGGGTAACTAGGATCGAGGTGTCAGATGAGAGAAAGGGAATGCCCACAGCAGAGCTGGGCCCAGGAGGGGCATGTTGTGGGACTACGGGATGTTGTTTGCCTCCCCGTAAGCCAGCTCTGCTGGCTGGACACCCTCACGGTGGTTGGTGTGCAGTTCCGGGGAGCGGAGAGGAACTTTCAGGCTGGGCTGTTACTGGTGCCAGCGCCCCCTGCAGGGTCATCCTGGTCACTTCCCCAGACCCCATGGTAGGCCACAGAGGAGGAAATACTTCACCAGGCCCTGGGGTGCCCCGAGTGCAGGGCTGGGGTCAGGGTGCCATGCTAACCGTCTGTGGGTCCAGCGGAAGAGGTGGTGGAGTACTGCTCCTTCCGGGACGAGGATGACGACTGCACCTACAGCTACACCGTGGAGGGCGACGGCAGCCCCGGGCCCAACAGCACCGTGCTGGTCCACAGGAAGAAGGGTGAGCTAGTAGACGGGCACAGCCTGTGGCAGCCGGCAGCCCGGACAGGCACGGCCACCGCCTCCTTTCTCCTCTCGCCCTGCAGACTGCCCTCCGGGCTCCTTCTGGTGGCTCATCCCCCTGCTCATCTTCCTCCTGCTGCTCCTGGCGCTGCTTCTGCTGCTCTGTTGGAAATTCTGTGCCTGCTGCAAAGTAAGTCCCCGACCCCAGCCCTCCTGGGATGGACGGGTGTGTAGAAGAAGCAAAGTGGCCATGGCAAGGCAGACCCGCACCTGCCTACCGGCTGTGGGTCTACTGCCTCCTGCCTTGGGCCGTCAGTGGCCAGAGCCACTTGCCATGGAGTCAGCCCCCGGTGAGCAAGGGAGGCAGAAGCTGACAGTCTGGCAGGGTGCAAAAGCATGGGGAATGCAAAGCGTGGGGTGCTGGGTTGTAGGGGCAGAGGCCACGTACTGTTCTGACCCATGGCAGTGTGAGATGTGTGTGTGTGTACACAGAGAGGGGTTCTATGATCAAATACATTTGAGAAATATATGTTTCTCAGAACTTAGTCTCTGACCTAATCATTTGCATAATAAACCACTGTGGGTTGGGGAATATAGCTTAATATATATGAAACCCTGGATTCAACCTTAAGCCTTCCATAAAACTGGGTCATTCCTAGGCATGGTGGTACACACCTTTAATCCCAGCAGTCAGGGGGCAGAGGCAGGTAGAGCTTTGTGAATCTGAGGCCAGCTTGGTCTTCATAGTAAGATCCAGGCCAGCCAAGGCTGCATGATGAGACCTTGTCTCAAACAAACAAATACCACAGAGAGAGAGAGGAGAGAGAGAGAGAGGCCTGTCATCTGGGGATATGGAGGCAAGAGGGTCTAGAGTTCAAAGTTGTCCTCAGCTACATAGCAAGTCTGAGAGCAGCTTGGGCTACATGAGACCCAAAAATAAGTAAGTAGGGACCTGAGCATGGTGACACACACTTTTAATCTCAGAACTCAGGGAGCAGAGGCAAGCAGATCTGTTAGCTCCAGGCCAGCTGGTCTACCTAGAAAGCATCAGGCAAGCCAGGACTATATAGTGAGACCCTGTCTCAAAACAAATATTAAAGAGTTGTGAAAATTAAAGTAAATGGAAGAGCTGGCAAGATGGCTTAGCAGGTAATGCTAGAGCTGCCTTGGCTGACAACCTGCCTTTGATTTCCGGGACCTGCACAGCGGAAAGGAGAGAACCAACTCCTACAAGTTGTCTTTGACCTCTACACCTCCACATGTGTGCGTGCATATGTACACACAAAGTAAATGTAACTGAAAAAAACATATGTATATATATATATATATATATATACATATACATCATCTCTACATTCATATACAAACATGCACACATACATACATAAATATATATGGTTTTTTGAGACAAAGTTTCTCTGTGTAGCCCTCACTGTCCTGGAACTCGTTTTGTAGACCAGGCTGGCCTCAAATTCACAGAGATCCGCCTGCCTCTGCCTCTGCCTCTGCCTCCCAAGTACTGGGATTAAAGGCATGTACCACCATACCCAAGAAGAAAAGGACGTTTTTAAAAGGAGGGGAGGGCGAGAGAACTAGGGCCTGGGAGGATATTTCAGTGGGTCAGAGCACTTGCTATACAATCATGAGGATCTGAATTTGAATCCTTATCTGCTTGTGACTTCGGTGCTATAAAAAGCAGAGAGAGGGGGCTGGAGAGATGGCTTGGCAGTTAAGAGCATTAGCTGCTGTTCCAGAGGTTCTGAGTTCAATTCCCAGCAACCACATAGTGGCTCACAACCATCTATGATGAGATCTAGTGACCTCTTCTGGCATGCAGGCAGAACACTGTATATATAATAAATAAATTTTAAATAAAAATTTAAGGATTACTGGCCACCAGCCCATCTCTGGGTTCAGTGAGAGACCCTGTGTCAAAGGAATAATGTGGAAAATGGCAGATAGCAGAGCAGGCTACCTGGTGTCTTCCTCAACTCTCTCTCTCTCTCTCTCTCTCTCTCTCTCTCTCTCACACACACACACACACACACACACATGCCTGCAGACACACTTCTAGGGAATGGACAAGAAGTAGAGGTGCCTGGAGAGGCCTGTCTAGCCTGGGACAATCATCCCAACTTCTCCTCTTCTCTCCTAGGCCTGCCTGGGGCTTCTCCCTTGCTGCAACCGAGGTATGGGCCGGGCACAAGTGTGAGCAGTGTGTATCTGACTGTCCCTTCTTCAGGCTGGGGGAGATGTGGGAGGCCCTGGGTTCTTCCTGACGGTTGTGGCTGTGAAGGCCTAGCGAGGGGCCTGCACTGAGGGCCCTTCCCCTCAGGTCACATGGTGGGCTTTAAGGAAGATCACTACCTGCTTCGGGAGAATCTGATGGCCTCCGACCACCTGGACACGCCCATGCTGCGCAGTGGAAACCTCAAGGGACGAGACACGGTCCGCTGGAAGATCACCAATAATGTGCAGCGACCTGGCTTTGCCACCCATGCTGCCAGCACCAGCCCCTCGGAGCTTGGTGAGGGCCGGGGCTGGATGCTGCCATTCCTGGCAGTGTCCTTAGGAGCTCTGTCCCTGACCCAGGATCATACCGTTCCTGTTTCCTGTGGGTATTGGGCACGGGCCCAGGACTCCATCCCTTCCTGTCCCATCCTGGCACCAAGGCTCTCAGGCCAGTGTGCCTGCCACACTGAAAACAGTCAGCCAGTTCCTCAGGCTTAGGCTGGCTTGTGGAGGTCACACTGCCTATCCTTCCACCCAGTACCCTACGGGCTGTCCCTGCGCCTTGGCCGCCTCTGCACTGAGAACCTCATGAAGCCTGGCACCCGAGAATGTGACCAGCTGCGCCAGGAGGTGGAGGAGAATGTGAGGACCGGAAACAGCTAAGTGGGACCCAGATGTGGGTGCAGTGGCAGCCTTTGGGAGAGCTGAGGGTCGCAGCTTCAGAACCTAGACTTTTCTAGGCAGGAGGCACAGGGCTCTTTGGACATGTGCCTTGTATGGGGTCATCTTGGTGGCAGAGCCTGGATTTCAGGATTCATCCCTCAGGCATATGCCAGCCAACCTTGGGAAGCCCTCTGCACTCTTCTCAACCTTCTCCCCTTGCCTGGCAGCTGAATGAGGTGTACAGACAGGTCAACGGTGCACACAAGCTCCAGCAGACAAAGTTCCGGTAAGTCCCGGGGAGCCCACGCCAGGCGGGGTGGGGGGCTGCCGACGCTGAGCCCTGCCATCAGGCAGCCATGATTCCCAGGCTAGGATGAGAGCTGTTCAGTCAAGCTCCCAAGGGGGATCATGCCCCACTCCAGAAGACACGTGGCTCACGGCCCCTTCTTTGTCCCCACAGACAGCAGCCCAATGCTGGGAAAAAGTGAGTTGAAGAACTCGAGGTGGGATGGCCCCACCTCCTTCCCCTCTACCCTGAGCTCCAGCCGCCTCCCCACCCACTCCTGCCCCAGCTCTCTAATCATGCCCTAGGAAGGGAAGGCCCTAAATCCACCATTGGCTAGACCCTTTATTCCCATCTTCCCGGGGCCAGTCCAGTCCATCCAACAACTACTTGTGAGACACATTTACCACAAATCAGTCCCTCAACCAAAACAGAACACAGATCAGCCCCTGCCCCGCCAGCTCATGGCCCTGCTCCTCTCTGGGACGAGATTCTCATGCTGAGGCTCAGGAGCAGGCAGGTCACCAAACAGACAGACCAGCAGGTTAGGTGGCTTCTGCCCTACCCGGCAGGGCATGTGAGAAGGGACCTACACCGAGACAAGTGAGATGGGCCACGTGTCCAGGCTCTGGCCAGCACCTCCCAGTGTTCGAAATGGGCTCCGTGTGCCTGGCCGTCTCAGCCAATGCTCTCAGTAACCCTGCCAGAGGGTCACCCTTGTGAATTCCATTTTCCAATGAGAAAACTGAGACTCAAGGAGGTTAAGTCCCTGGCCCAACGCTACCTGGCTGTCTAGGAGCAGAGCCAGAATCTGAACCCAGGCAGCCTGCTGTCGCACACCCAGCGCTTGTATCAGCAGCCTTGCTTGGTGAGGTGGGTGGGGAAGCCCCCTCCTCAGGTGAGACAGGAGTAGCAGCGATCTGGCTGCAGGGTGGAGGAGGTGAAGCCAGAGTGAGCTTCTGGCACTGCCTGGCACTAAAGACCCTGCACCTTCCGCCGTCTCACATCTTACCCCCGTCCCTTCCGCTTGGACACACAACCCAGGCAAGACCATACCATTGTGGACACGGTGCTGCTGGCGCCGCGCTCAGCCAAGCAGACACTATTGAAGCTGACAGAGAAGCAAGTGGAGCAGGGCTCCTTCCATGAACTCAAGGTGGCCCGTGGCTACTACACTCTCACTTCGGAGCAGGGTAGGTAGCAGGCTCTGCCTCTGCTGCACTCCACCCCTCACCCATGTGGCCCTGAGACCCCGTGTCTGACCTGCATGCTAGATGCCCGGGGCATGGTGGAGTTCCAGGAGGGTGTAGAGCTGGTGGACGTGCGAGTGCCCCTCTTCATCCGCCCTGAGGATGACGACGAAAAGCAGCTGCTGGTGGAGGCCATCGATGTTCCCGTGGGCACTGCCACCCTCGGGCGCCGCCTGGTAAACATCACCATCATCAAGGAACAAGGTTGGTCGGGGTCGAGGGCCAGGGAGGCAGGAAGCCAGGTCTGGGCTCTTGATTCTCCTAATATCCAAGTGGAAATGGGACAGGGCCATAGCTCCTGGCCCTGGCCCTACCCAGCTTTCCAAGCTGCCTGCTGGACTTTACTTCAACCCCTCACCTTCCTTCTGAAGAAATTCTCATCTCACTCCTCTGAGTATGGGCTAGGTAGGCGGGACGGAAGCAGCTAAGAAGGAAGTGAGACCAGGGCCTCCTGACCAGCACCCAGCTTCTTTGCAGCCAGCGGGGTGGTGTCCTTTGAGCAGCCTGAGTACTCGGTGAGCCGTGGAGAGCAGGTGGCCCGTATCCCCGTCGTCCGGCGCATCCTGGATAATGGCAAGTCCCAGGTCTCCTACAGCACACAGGATAACACAGCACACGGGCACCGGGTAAGGCTCGGTCAAGGGGCTGGGAGGACATTTTAGGGACTATCCAGTGATGTCCATGGTAGTTAGCCCAGTCCTTGGATGCTGGCAGTATCCTTAGTCAAGGGTGGCTCCGCTACCAGGAGTGGCTCTCCCAAAGTGCCAAGAACACTCTGGGAAGGGCACCACCACTCGGGACAAGAGGATCACTTCCTCATGGATGGGCCAGGTACCTACTGAAACCATCTTGTTTACCCTTCAATGACCCAGAATACCTGAGTCACCTGTCTGTCCAATCAAGAGGCCTTTGGAGTTTAATTTTATTTTCTATCATCTATCTATCTATCTATCTATCTATCTATCTATCTATCTATCTATCCGTCTATCTGTCTATCTATCTATCTATCTATCTATCTATCTATCTATCTATCTATTATTTTATTTTTTGAGATGGGTTTTTATGTGTAACAGCCCTCAAGCTCATGGAGATCCCCCTGCCTCTGCATCCCGAGTGCTGGGATTAAAGGCATGCACCACCACATCTGGCTAAGGATTTAATTTTTTTTTAATTTATACATCTTTATGTGTATAGGGGTTTTGTCATCTACATGTATGTCTGGGCACCATATATGTGCTCAAGGAGACCAGATGATGGCATTACATTCCCTAGTACTGGAATTACAAGCAGTTGTGAGCCACCACATATGTGCTGGGTGCTGGGATCTGAGCCCAAGTCATTGAGAAGAAAGTCAGTGGTCCAAACACCAAGCTATATGTCCACCTGCTCCCCCACCTTGTTTTGTAAGACAAGATCTCAATATGTAGCTTTGCATTGTAGAGCTTGCAGGCTGGTCTTGAACTCCTAGAACTCTGCTTGCTTCTCCCTCTGAATGCTGGGATTAAAGGTGAAGGCTAACCCACTATGGCTTCTTGAAATGGAATTACAAACCTTGTGTTCTTGAGCCCTCCCACCCCTGCCCAAATCTGTCATTGTTGGTCCTCCCCAGGGACAAGCAGCCCTTCCCAACAGGGAGGGCCTTCATTCCCAAGCCAGTACTGGGAAGAATTAAAGCCAAGCCATTCTGGCAGACATACAGGTTTTCTTGGTTTTGATTCTGAATGTAGCTGGGCATGCAGCAGAGGCCTGTAAACTCAGTGCTCAGGAGGCCAGGGAAAGAGGATTACAAGTTCCAGACTAGCCCGGGCTACATAACAAAACCCTGTCTCAAAAACACAAAATAAGGGCTGGAGAGATGGCTCAACAATTAAGAATACACACTGACCTTGCCTGACACTTCAGGCAGTTTACAAGAGCCTGTAACTCCAGCTTCAAGAGATCTTCTGGCCTCGGTGGTCAGTCACTTTCACTCACATGCACATAGCCCCACACAGACCTGCATAAATACATACAGTTTAAAAAAAACAACTTATGCCTGGCTATGGTGGCATATCCCTTTAATCTAGCACTTAGGAGGCAGAAGCAGGTGAATCTCTGAGTTCAAGGCCAGCCTAGTCTGCAGAGCGAGTTCCAGGACAGCCAGAGCTACACAGAGGAACCCTGTCTCAAAAAACAAAAAAACAAAACAACAACAACAAAAAAGAAGTTAAAAAAAAAGACAACAAGGTGCTGGAGAGATGGCTCAGTGGTTAAAAGCACTGTCTGCTCTTCCAGAGGTCCTGAGTTCAATTCCCAGCCCCCACATGGTGACCCACAACCATCTATACTCGTGGCATGCAGTTCTACATGCAGATAGAGTACTCACGCACATAACATAAATAAATCAATCTTAAAAAACAAAACAAAAACAAACAACAAACAAAAAGGACCAAGGACCCATGGGATTGCTCGGTGTGGGAAAAGTACTTGCCACTCAGCCTCATAGCCTGAGTTCAGTCACTGGGACCCACACAGGAGAGGAGCGCCAACTCCCTCAAGTTGTCCACACGTGTGCTGTGGCATGCTCTCTCCCTCCCCCCCTCTTGCTCTCTCCCTCTCTCTTTCTCTCTCTCTGTCGCACACATACACACAAATAAATAAATAAATGTAATATTTATTCATTTATTTTGGCTTTCTGAGATGGTATCTCTCTATGTAGTCCTGGCTGTTCTGGAACTCCTTGTGTAGATCAATTCACAGAGATCCTCCTGCCTCTGCCTTCTGAGTGCAGGGACCAAAGGCGTGTGGTACCACACCCAGCATAGATTAAATGTTTAAAATGCTGGGCCCCGTGGTACCAGCAGGTGACCCAACAGTCAGAACGCAAAGGCAAGAGGCCAACCTATTGAACACAGTGCGTTCCAGGCCAGCAGAGATTAGCTCCGGAGCACGGCACCTGATTAGTATGCACAAGGCTGTAAATTGACTAAGGAGTGGCTCAGCTGGCAGAGTGCTTACCTTGCATGCATGATGCTAGGGTTCAGTCTTTATGCGACTGGTAAGCAGAGAGTGGTGGCACATGCCTATGGTTTCAGCACACACAAGGCAGAGGAAGAATCATCAGGAACATAAGGTTATCCTTGGCTACATATTGAATCCCTGGTCGATCTGAGCTACGTGAGGCCTACAGGCCTATTCAGCCAACACAGGGTAACCTGTGCTCATCTGGGCCAGGCAATTGAGCCACATCATTGATTTCCTTACTCTCTCTCTCTCTTTGAAGATTTATTTATTATTTATATAGTATTCTGCCTGCACACCAGAAGAGGGCATCATATCTCATTGCAGATGGTTGTGAGCCACCATGTGGTTGCTGGGAATTGAACTCAGAGCCTTTGGAAGAGCAGTCAGTGCTCTTAACCTCTGAGCCTTCTTTCCAGCCCCTACTGTCTGTTCTGTTGTTTTAATTTGGACGATTGCTTTTTGTGAGACAGGCCCTGCCATTAGCGCCTCAGCCTCCCCAGTGCTGCCCAACAGGAATGTGCCACCAGGCCTCTTTCTCCCTATTTCTCTCCCACCTGCAGACTTCCTTTTCTGTTCTAGGTAGTCTCCCGTGGCTATCAGACCAGCCTGCCATGTGTGGAACTGAACTGTTAATTTGAAGCGCCACCTGGTGCTTCTTTGTGAGAAGGTCTTTTTCCTCTAGTGCAGTAGGGTAATCTAGGGGCTGCATGCCTTTAATCCCAGCCTTTGAGGAAGGCAGATCTGAGTTTGAGGCCAGCCTGGTCTACAGGGTGAGTTCTAGGAGAGTCAGGACTACACAGAGAAACCCTATATGGAAAAATAAAATAAAGTAATCTGGGGGCTGGGAGATGCTCAGGGTTAGTGTGAGTCCCAGCACCCACACGAGGTGGTCTGTAAATCCAGCTTGGAAAGGTGCAAATCTGACTCCCTCTTCCAGCCCTTCCACTACTCCCATACACAAAGAATACACTCAGACACTCTCAAGCTACACACACACACACTCACCCAGAGACAAATAATGAAACTTGAACATAGGAAAGCTATGGAAGCACAGCAGAACCCCAGATTTCAGGGGACAGACAGTTCTCTCCCTCCTGCGCATGCCTGCCAACCCGCTGCCCTGGGCTAACCTCCTGCTTGTGCAGCAGCCTTGTGCTTGCTTCACCCCGCAGCCCCGCTCTGACCCTGACTCTCCCCATTGCAGGACTATGTCCCTTTGGAAGGCGAGCTGCTGTTCCACCCCGGAGAGACCTGGAAGGAGCTGCAGGTGAAGCTCCTGGAGCTGAAGGAAGTCGACTCCCTACTGCGTGGCCGCCAGGTCCGCCGTTTCCACGTCCAACTCAGCAACCCCAAGTACGGAGCCCGCCTGGGCCAGCCCAACATGGCCACCGTCATCCTCGGGGATCAGGGTGAGTAAAGCCTGGGGCAGCATCGGCAGGTGGAGAGGGAGCCCCGGACCTCCCAATAGGACCCCAGACTCCTCAGACACGTCCTCAGGGCCCTTGGCCTCAGGTGTCACATATCAATACTAGGATCATACACACACAAGTGTCTCCCTCTAATGTTTATATGTGTTCTTGTATTGTTCTGGTTTTGAGACTGTCTCACCGTTAGGCCTGGGCTCATCTGGAACTCACTATGTAGACTAGTCTGGCCTGGAGCTCATCCCTGCCTCCAGGTGGATTAAAGAGGTGCCACCATGTCTGACATTCCACCATGCCTGGTGTGCCACCATATCTGGATGTTTTGTTCTTATTAATTGGGACATATGTTTAATGTTTGCACGTGTGTGTGTGCGCGCTCCGGTATGCGGCACTCAGCTGGTACAGCAAGTGCCTTTCTTGCCAGCCCCATACTTATTTTTCTCTAATTTTCTTTATGGTGTAAGTGCGTGTACACCTGTCTATCTGCAGGTACGGATCTGCATGGCACCGATGGTTTCTGGGAGTTGAACTCAGGACCTCTGAAAGAGCAGCCAGGGATCTTTTCTTTTTTTCTTTTTTGGCGGTGTGGGGGTGTGGGGGGGTGTTCCGAGACAGGGTTTCTGTGTAGCCCCTGGCTATCCTGGAATTCATTCTGTAGGGCAGGCTGGCCTCAAACTTGTAGAGATCTGACTGCCTCTGACTACCAAGCACTGGGATTACAGGTGTGAACCAGGCAATGAGAAGATATTTTTTTAATTTAAATTTATTTTTTATAATTTATTCACTTTACATCCCAATTGTAGCTCCCTCCCTCTTCTCCTTCCAACCCCACCCTCCCTCTCTCTTCCCCCCTCTTCCTTAACTGTACTTCTCAGAAAGTGGGAACCTCCTCCCCTACCATCTGACCCCAGCCTATCAAGTCTCATCAGGATTGCCTACATCTTCTTCCTCTGTGGCCTGGCAATGGCCCCTTGACTAGGGAGAAGTGATCAAAGAGCAGGCAACAGAGTCCATGACAGAGACAGCCTCTGGTCCCCTTACTAGGGAACCCACATGAAGACCAATGAGCAAATCTCTTGTCTTATTTTTAATTTTTTATATTAATTATAGTTTATTCACTTTGTATCCCAGCTGTAGCCCCCTTCATCATTCCCTCCCTCATCTCCCATGCCCCAAGTCCAAGTCCACTGAGAGGGGAGGTCCTCCTCCGCTTCCATCTGACCCTAGCCTATCAAGTTTCATCAGGAGTGGCTGCATTGTCTTCCTCTGTGGCCTGGCAAGGCTGCTCTCCCTTCAGAGGGAGGTGATCAAAGAGCCAGTCACTGAGTTCATGTCAGAGACAGTCCCTTTTCCCCTTACTGGGGAACCCACTTGGATACTGAGCTGCCATGGGCTACATTTCAGCAGGGGTTATATCCATGAATAGTCCTTAGTTGGAGTATCAGTCTCAGAAAAGACTCCTGTGCCCAGATTTTTTGGTTCTGTTGCTCTCCTTGAGGAGCTCCTGTCCCCTCCAGGTCTGATTATCTCCTCCTTCTTTCATAATATTCCCTGCACTCTGCCCAAAGTTTGGTTATGAATCTCAGCATCTGCTTTGATACAGTGCTGGGTAGAGGCCCTCTGTGGTAGGCTCCTGTCCTGTTTCCTGTTTTCTCCTTCTTCCAATGTTCATCCCGTTTGTCTTTCTGAGTGAGGATTAATCATCTTACCCAGGGTCCTCCTTCTTGCTTAGCTTCTTTAGGTGTACATATTTTAGTATGTTTATCCTATATTATATGTCTAATATATGTCTTATGAGTATATATCATACGTGTCTTTCTACTTCTGGAATACCTCACTCAGGATGATCTTTTCTAGATCTCACCATGTGCCTGCAAATTTCATGATTTCTTTGTTTTTAATTGCTGAGTAGTATTCCATTATGTAAATGTACCACCATTTCTGTATCCATTTCTCAGTTGAGAGGGACATCTGGGTTGTTTTTCTAGGTTCTGGCTATTACGAATAAAGCTGCTATGAACACAGTTGAGCAAATGTTCTTGTTGTGTACTTGAGCATATTTGGATATATGCCCAGCTATCCAGTGGTATAGCTGGATGTTGAGGAAGCACTATTTCTCAATGAGCGGATCTTAATTGAACTTTTAAACTGGGGAGCCTGGGATGGTCAAGTAAAATCTCTGGCGCCCCCTGGTGGTAACAAATACTGAGCCTGTCTTCCACACCCCTTTGTCTAGATGAAACGGACAGGAGTCTCATAAATCAGACACTTTCATCGCCGCTGCCACCCCGTGGAGACCTGGGTGCCCCACAGAACCCCAATGCCAAGGCTGCTGGGTCCAGGAAGATCCATTTCAACTGGCTGCCCCCTCCTGGCAAGCCAATGGGGTACAGGGTAAGGGGAGGGGCACTGGGGAGGTCTGTCACTCACCTGCTGGTGAGTGGATTGCCCCAAGGTGGAGTGGGGGGGGCGCTTGGTACCAGTGGACCCATAAAACCCCATCTGTGACCCTGCAAGCAGGAAGACCCAGTCCTGAGTTCTTCAGCTTCAGGCCTTCTCCCCTTCCTGGAACGGGGTCTCTCCTCTGCCTGGGAGACCCCAAGCTCTGCCCCAAGCCTTGCTGGGGGACCCCAGTGTCACATACACACACAAAGGGAACCCAGCGCTTGCTGCTTCCCACCGAACACCCACCCACAGGTGAAGTACTGGATCCAGGGCGACTCTGAGTCTGAAGCCCACCTGCTGGACAGCAAGGTGCCCTCAGTGGAGCTCACCAACCTGTATCCCTATTGCGACTATGAAATGAAGGTGTGTGCCTATGGGGCACAGGGTGAGGGGCCCTATAGCTCACTGGTGTCCTGCCGCACCCACCAGGAAGGTTAGTCTTTGTGATGCTTTGGTCCACCTAGCTACCGCTGTCAATGTTCCCAGACCCCTGTACTCCCTCTCCTCCCTCCCTCCCCCTTTTCTCCCTTTTTCCCTCCCTCCCTCCCTCCCTCTGAGAGCTCAGCCCTGTCACTGACCTACTAATAGGGCTCTTCCTGCTTCCTTCCAGTACCCAGCGAGCCAGGGCGGCTGGCTTTCAATGTTGTCTCTTCTACGGTGACCCAGCTGAGCTGGGCTGAGCCAGCTGAGACCAATGGCGAGATCACAGCCTATGAGGTCTGCTATGGACTGGTCAATGAGGACAACCGTAAGGACCAGACTTTCCTGGCTTCCTGCTGAAGGAGGGACATGTGGCTGGAGGGAGGTGTGGGGTCTGGGGCATTTCTGGGCACTCTGGGCCGCTTTGTCCCTGTCAAGCAGTAAGCCTGAGGCATTGTATGTATTCTCCTTTTGGTCAGATTGGTGCTAGTTTACATTCCAAGGGTATAGAGGTTATGTGGGCTCCATAGGATCACTGGCTCAGGGGTGACCTTTCTCTACAGGGAACCAAGGTGACTCATTTTGCACATTTCTCTTAGGGCCAGAATAGTTGCCAAATTTAGCAGCATGTGAGGCAGGATGGCCAAGAGTCTGACAGAAGCCTAGATAAATTAGCAAAGACCCCTTCTCAGAAAAAAAACAAAAGCAAAAATGGGTCTTAAGAGTGTAGCTCAGTTGGTAGAGTGCCTGCTGAGCACACAAGAGGCCCCAATTTCAATCCCGCCCCCCAACACACACACACATAACAGAGACTAGGACCTATGGTCTCATCACTTAGGAGGTTGGGAAGCAGAGGGATCAGAAGTTCAAAGCCATCACTGGCTACATAGCAAGTTTGAGGCCAGCCTGACATACATGAGACTCTGCCTGAAAAACTGAACAGCAAAGCCCTCCCAGGATGAACAAAGAAACCATAGGAAAAAAAAAAAAAAAAAAAAAAAGCAACATTAAAAACCCAGAAAGCCAAGCAGGGCATGGTGGCACACGCCTGTAATCCCAGCATTCAGAGAGGCAGAGATGTCTGTGAGTTTGAAGCCAGCCTGGTCTACAAAGTGAGTCCAGGACAGCCAGGGCTACAGAGAGAAATCCTGTCTTGAAAATTCAAAACAAAAACAAACAAACAAACAAAAAAACCCAAAAAAAGAAAGCCCTGAATTTCAAGTACATTTCTGTTTTTAGAATAGTTCACTCAGACTAGGGGTGTGGCTCAGTAGTAGAATGCTTGCCTCATATACACAAGGGCCTAGGTTCAATCCCTAGTATTTTCCCTCACCACCACTACCTGATTCTGCTTTTTGTTGTTTTTGTAATTAGGGTCTCACTAGATAGCCCTGACTGGTTTGCAACTTAATAGGTAGACCAGGTTGACCTCTAACTCACAGAAATCCTCTTACCTCTGCTTGCTTCTCTAGTGCCCCTGCTTTAATGTATATATATATACATATATATACATATATATGTATATATATGTGTGTATATATATGTATGTATATATGTATATATATATATACATAATGTATATATATACATTTAATGTATATATATATACATTAAAGCAGGCGCATATATATATATATATATATATATATATATATATATATATAT